AAAGATTGTATTAGTGATGGGAGTATGCTTTGATTCATTGATGCTTCGGTTCCGTTTGACATAGTGCTAGGCAAATGAATGCTATAATTTTGATAATTCAAACCACACTCAAAGTCATGAAATTGGGACTCGATTGGGAGCACTGATAGATTGATGCCGAATTTTATGAGGTAGAAATAATGTTTTAGGTTTTGATGGATCTAGACTAAGTCACAACAAGTGAAAGAGTCCTCGCACAAGCTTAATACCTCTTGAAGTAGCATATGTTGATTGGGGGCATATGACATACTCCCTTGCAATCAACTAGGAGGTATGATCTATCTTTGGATACCCACTTTATGTCAAATGAAATTCCCAAACTCAAAATTGTCGCCTGGGTGTCAACGGGCATTGATAGGGTGACCAAAAACAGGGATATGGTATCTGAATTTTAAAGGTCCTTGGTTAACCAAATGAAGAAAACAGTCAAAACCTTCAAAATGGAGCCTAACATTCTCCTTGTTAGAGAGATGGTGTTTGAGAGCTACATGAAGTGAAGGAAGCTTGATCTTCAGGGTAAGGGTAGCTCAACCTTGAAGGCCTAAATTTTTAGAGTCAATTGGTTATTGTGTTGTAGGTGGTTCTATAAGTCCATAATGCCTTAGTCAACTTATTATGCCACTATCACTTATTTGCAATGATGGGCTTTATTTTAAGCTGCATAAGGTCTCATTCAATGCCTTAAGTTGGTTATTTTATTTGGGTTAGGAGTACTGCCAGTCGGTCAAATGAAAATTAGTAAACCTAACAATCTTGGTATTCTAGAAAGATATGCCATTATTGAAATAATGCAACAGGGCATAATAAAATGTTAAACAATTTGTTCTTGAAAGAAATTTAAGTCATTTGCCTTCACCTTTTTGAGAGGAATGATTTTTCCACTTCCGAAAAGTTATCCATAGTTGTGAGAATGATTTTATGACACTTGGAAGGAGGGTCAATAAGTTCAACAATACCCATTCCTCAGTGTTCCAATAGCTGGGAGGCCATAATATGATAGAGCATATTTGGAGATCGGTATATGATTGTCATAAATTTGACACTAAATGCATGTGCGGGCAGTCGGGCACGTTGTATGCAATTCTAGATTATAGTAACTTGTAAAACTTAAGACGCTTGATCTTAAGTTTAATCTTGGGAGCAGATTGATGAGCACTATAATAAAGGTTTGTGTTCGTCAAGAGGAAGAAGAAAGACAACTTTTGGAGTTGGGGATATGAGAGTTTGGGAGTTTCAGGTGCCTAAGGAGCTAATGAGTTATGTTAAATTGAATGTTGGAACCAAAGAAGTGAATCTTAAGGAGCTAACATGTGAGAGTTTTTAGAATCTTGAGGGCATTTTCTCCTCCCAATTTGTTGGAGGTAGGCGATGACATTTCGAGGCTGGATTTTCCTCGTCAAGGAAATGTTTTTCTTTTATTTATGCAAGCAAGCAGCCAGGATATGTTCTCGGGAAATGTTATGATGACTTTATTCCCTCTCTAGGATAGTAGTAGGTGCTTCACATGTTGATGTGCGACAAGTGAAAGTATATAATACTAGCTATAGTTAATAGTGAGATAAGGCTTGAGGCAGTGAACAACTCTAGGGGGATGAGACAATGAGATGACGTTGCAGAGGTGTCAATGAGTCACAACGTGTACCATGAAATTGATAAGGATGCTATGTCATCAGCTCTATCGTAAGAACCAGTTGGTCCAGTTCCACCGAACTGGACCATTGCACTAGCAGGCGGTCGAGAAGATGAACTGAGGGCGAGTAGGCAACAGGTCGAGTGAGCAAAACAGTAGGCGCAAGTATAGCTGGCGGAACCAAAACGTGCGAACAAGCGAGGAAACACGTTCGAATGCGAAAAACAACGACTCATCGTGGGAGATGACTTCGATTCGTTCACTCCAGTTGAATCACATGAGTAGAAAAGGCGTTGAACGAGAGGAAGCTGAATGAGAGAAAGAAAAAGTAACGTCGATGTCGTTTGGTCTTCTGGTCGTGGCTGGTTTTGTTGACTGATGACGATGAAGGAGTTGAAGAATTGGAGGGCTCGTGGAGGCCGAGAGTGGACAAATATCGAGCGAGCGGAGAGCGAGCTTGGATGACTGAGCGAAGGTATGATTTTATTTTATTTTTTAATTATTGAAAACAAATTTAATAAAAATAGTATTTTAATATTTAAAAATATAATATTAGAGTTTTGATAAAAGATAATGATAATTTTTTTTAAGAAAATTAATATTAGAAAAGTTTATTATCTAAAGCTAGAGGTTGTTAAATATAAAAGTTTATACATTAATTTAATTGTGATTTTATCCAAATTTTAATAAGGAGAATAAATTAAATTAAAATACGAGCACTAATTGGATATATCTAATAAGTAATTAAAGAGAGAGTGTAGGAGTGATTTCATTTGATTAAATTTTTAATTTTAAAAGAGAATATATATTTTATTAAGTTAAAATGAAAAATTATTAAATATGAAAAGTTTATAAATTATTGATAATTAGATAACTATCTACATATAAATGATAATGTGAGGAGAACAACTTCTATTATTTAAACATATGACCTATTTAAGTATACTTAACAAATAATTAGAGAGAAATATGATCATATATATAATTTTGAAAAAATTATATATATAATTTAAAATAAGGTTCTTACGATAGAGCTGATGACATAGCATCCTTATCAATTTCATGGTACACGTTGTGACTCATTGACACCTCTGCAACGTCATCTCATTGTCTCATCCCCCTAGAGTTGTTCACTGCCTCAAGCCTTATCTCACTATTAACTATAGCTAGTATTATATACTTTCACTTGTCGCACATCAACATGTGAAGCACCTACTACTATCCTAGAGAGGGAATAAAGTCATCATAACATTTCCCGAGAACATATCCTGGCTGCTTGCTTGCATAAATAAAAGAAAAACATTTCCTTGACGAGGAAAATCCAGCCTCGAAATGTCATCGCCTACCTCCAACAAATTGGGAGGAGAAAATGCCCTCAAGATTCTAAAAACTCTCACATATTAGCTCCTTAAGATTCACTTCTTTGGTGCCACATGCATGAAATGACTAGATAAGATGCTTGCATGTACATGATTGACTGATGGAGCACACCCTCTTATCATACTGGCTGGAGATGCAATGCATCATTTCATGTAAATAGAAAAGGTTATGGAAAAGGAAATGAAAAATGTTTATCTTCATTGATACTATTTTAGACGGTGGCTCCGATGACGGTTGTTTTATTTACGAAAAAAGATGAAGATGATGATAAATATATGATAAATGTATAATATTGATGGTCATGTTTGAAATGAGCATGCATATTATTTCAAAAGCCTTGTGCTACTGTAATTTAAAAGCATGATTTACTCATTGAGTTCTTTAGAAGTCACTTTAGAAGTCACTTTTGTTTTCAATAATTACAAGTATTATTTGATTAACTTAAAATGACTAGAAGAGAAGATAATATATATCGTAAGTGAGATGCTATGAGAGAAATGTATTTATATTATTTGAATTTTAAATATTAAGTTGCTCTTTTAGTTTATTGGAAATAGTTTTAGCAAATGAAATTTAATCAACTGTTCGACCGTCTGTTTCCATCTCTTTAATTCGAGCCTCCGAACTTGGTTGTGACATCTAGGATGCTAAGACATCGATGTAGGCATATAAAGTCAACCCAGGCGAATTGTTCGGAAGGTGAGACAATCCTCAATGAAATTTTCAAGAAATTGTTAGGGGTGACTTGATGTCGGCCTCCTAGGGATTATTTATAGAGCTTGCGCAAGGTCACTGAGAAGTCAATGGTGATGGCCTTCAGAAGGCAACCTCATCTGAAAGACTTGTCGAAATGTCATCAAGATTTGTGAAGTGCTAAGGGTCGACCTCCTTAGGGTAACTTGTTGAGATGTTATCAAGATGACAAAATTTTAGGCGTCAAGATGTTGGCCTCCTACGTTAGTAATGAGTTGGAGTGATGCTGATAGTGTCACGAAGAGTTGTTGACATAGGGATGAGATGATGGTTGAGTAGGTGCCAACAAGTGAGGGGCCATAGGATGGTGTCCATGGGGCATATAAGCTTGGCGACTGGAAGTTGTCAGCATGAGGAGTGTACAACTTGAAGTCAGCAGCAAGGAGCTGCTTAGCCAAAATTCCAAATTCTATATTTTGGGATGTTGGATGGATCCGGACACCAAAATGGCCTAAATGACGTGGATTAACTCTTGCATGGTTAATAAAGATGGTCGGCAATTTTTTAGTTGTTTTGTTATAATTTTTTTTTTCAAACAGCTGCTTTTGTTTTCTAACGTGGATATCATTTTTTTTTCACGTATTCATATGGAAATAGCCATGCCTGAATTCAACTACTGGTCATTCTTTGAATTTTTCTGACTTAAAGGACTTAAAAGGAATACTCTGTCAGAAGTTTGATGGATACTCCCATGTGTAGTTTCCTCGGTCATTGTTCTGATGGAATTATTCAATTAACTTTAGGGACTTAGGGTTCTTGTGACAAGCTTTAGCTTAAAACACCTAATTATGTGAGCCTATCCTGTGCATGAATTTATACATTGCATTTTTTTTTTGGTGATATATAAATTTTTTAATGTTTCCTGACTTTCCTCTAGTCTTAATGCATATTTTATCATACTTTCTTTTTTATTTTTTACTTTCTTGCTTAAGTCAACAACATTGAAAGACTACCACTCTTGCATTTTCTTCATGTTTGGCAACTTAGAAACCTACGCACACATACTAGAAAAGTAGGTCATGCGAGTAAAAAAAAAATCCATTTAATACTGTTATGTTTGTGAATATTTATTAAAAAACTCTGTAGTTCTCCTTTTCAATTCCTTAAATAGTTTAGTTTACTTGTTAATAGATAAAAATTGAGTTTCATTCTTCCAAAGTTGTTCTAATGATAGTTACTATTCTCTAATTTTCTTCAGATTTATGATTACCAATGTAATATGGGGCTTATTTTACTGGAAAAGAAAGACTTGGAGTCTAAATACAATGAAATCAAAGCTTCTGCTGAGTCAGCTGAGATAATTTATAAGCGTGATAAAGCTGCAAATCTCTCTGCTTTAGGGGAAGCAAGGAAGCGTGAAGAGAACCTGAAACAGACATTAGGAATAGAAAAGGAATGTCTAGCGAATGTAAGATTATTATATTTTTATTTTTGAAAGAGTTAGCTTTCAATATTTTTCTAGTTACGTGTAAGCTTTTTTGGTTGTCTGGTAGATTGAGAAGACCTTGCATGAAACGCTTGTTGAATCTGCTGAAACTAAAGTTGCGTGTGAAAGAAAGTTGGTTGAAGCTCAATCAATGATGGAAACCGCACAAAGAATGTTTGATGAGGCAAAGTCCAAGACTCATGAAGCAGAGGCTTCTCAAGCAGAAGCACGGCGTCGGCAGAACACTGCCCTTAGAACCTTACAGGATGTAGAGGCTCGTGAGGATGAACTTAGACGGCGAATTGCTTCTTTCCACGCTGAGTAGGTTAATCTACGGTCATATTTGGCATTCTTTTTCCTTCTTTTATTATTTTCTTCTGTAGCTTTAATTAAGAGAAATATTTATTTTTAATATATAGTATATCCATTTCATTGAAGTTTTATAGTCAACCAGATTTGCATGAAAAACTTGGTTATAAGGTTGATTGGGAAAGCATAGGAACTTAATTGCAGGCTAAGTCAATGACTTAATTGGATTCTATATTTTAAGTTACCAAATTTTTTGTCAGTTACGTTTTAATCAGAATACTGATGGGGTTGAACATTTGAACTCAATTGCCATTAAAACATGCCATACCACCCAGAAAAGCTCCGTGACAAATGCTGAAGCAAATTAAGGTATTTGTTGAATCCTAACTTCATATTCCTTAAATTAAATAGCATGACATGGGTTAGAATATTTTGAGGTGCAGTATTTTAAGAAATAGTTTGATCTCCTTGAAACAAACATTTCATTTTGCGTGGAATTCTGTATTTCCTTGCCAACAAGCTATCCTTAACCTTAGTAAGGTTATTCATTATTCCTAATGACCAACTTTCACATCCTTCAAATACTAAGTTTTTCAACGTGTATTAGATTGTTAGGTTATTGCATCTGCTCGCACTTAACTATTTTAATCGAAGTTTTGGTTAACAAGCTTAAATGAGGTTTTAAATTGAGCTGATCAGGCAAGCTGAAATCCTAAGAAGCATCCTCCTAGGAAGAATTATTTTCTTCACTTATCGTGAGGTTAAAATTGTTTTAAATTTTTATGCTGATAATGGAGAAAATAGATTAGGACCAATTAGTTGGACCCGTTTTGCTCGGTTAGATTAGTCAACCTTTTTTTATTCTTTTTCTATAAAGGAAATTTAACAATGATCCACAATCCATGATGACAAACATGGCATTTTTTAACATTAATTCCCTAGTGCAATGTGTTCAACCCTGTTGCCTCACCTCCTTCAGCCTCCCTAGCATTACCACTTCACCACATAGTTGGGCCATGTTAGTGCTTTAACTCATTTGGAAATAGCCAATATTCATTTACGGTCTAACTTTAACACCCTTTGAAAGTTCTTGTAAAGTGGCCCTTGAGGTTCTCAAACAAAAGGCGTGAATGAGGAGGCAAAGTGGAGTTGCAGAGAAGATGACTATCATGGCAAAGCTATATAGAGTCCTAACGTGGTCCTCTAAAGCTTCTAAGACCTAATTATGCTGTTGTGAAGATAAAAAATTAGAATTAGAGTTATATGTTTGCAATGGTTAAGAGTAAAACAAATCTAAGGCATTTGTCTAACGGGTTTTGAATACCTCATATAAGCTATTTTTAGGGGCTGCTTAGTTTGAAGTAAAATTGGTGTATTCCAAATAAAGGGGTTTGAAAATGTCGATGTTTGATTCGAAGTAAAAAATGATGAGTAAATTTTGGTGTATTTGGAATTCATTCTCTAATGCAATTTTGATGTATTTGAGAATCATTAGATTTGGATGATTTTCAAATACAATATTGTCGAAACTTAATAAAAATTCTAAAATAAAATTAATTAAAAAAGGGGAAAAGCCCATGTCCTGCCCACTACTAACGTTGTGCCCACTACTCAAGTGGTTCTTGATGGTGGTGGCTACGACCAAGGTGGTAGGCTAGAGGTCGAGGTTGTTGAGAGGAAGTTGCTGCAGGTTAGGGGTGCATGAAGGCATGATTTGTTAGGGGCTTTAGTTTAGGATTTGATTAAGTTTTAATAAAAAAATATATAAATCGGTTGAGGCGTACGCCTCACGTTAGTAATGTGAGGCGCTCCTCAGCCAAGTTGAGGAGCATGCCGCACAAAAAAAGCTCAAGTTGTAAGCTTCGAGGCGTTTTTCATTGGAATTGCGCTGAGGCGGGCCTCAAGGCGAGCATTATATTACGCAATTTTAAACAATGCTCCCTACTGTAGGTCTTTCTCGCACGAACAAAACCTGAACGGGCCTTCCTTCATAAGCCACCCATTTGAATTTCGTTCTTCACTGCAAATAATCATGAATCCGATCTATTGGCTGTCAGAGCTCACTCAAATTCGGTCCTATATGCTATTTGAAATAACGAGTATGACTGTATGAGTATGGGGTGAATGTTTATAAATTTAATATATAATAGATATTTGTATATATAGTAAAAGAAGATCAAGCAATCAAACAAAGTTTCCATCATCAATTGAAAACTGAAGATCATTTTCGGGATTAAACAACATCCCGAAGCCCTCAGTCGTTGAATTCTATCCAGCTGGGCACACTAGAAAGGGCAATTGCCCTCTCCAAACTCCTATTGCGAGGAGGGGATGCCAGTAGGTTGTCGAAATTACCCCTTAAAATTGTTAAAATCACCTCGGGAGAATTGGAAAATTATCTAGAGCTTTTTACTTAATTAATCATTTAATCAATTATTAATTAAAATTAAAATTCTTTAATCAATCACCTAACCTAATTTTAAAATAGTCCAAATTTTAATTAATTAACTTAAAATTGAAACTAATTTAACAATTAATTAACTAATTTCAAAATAATTAAAATTCAAATTAAAAATATTAATAATTGATTAATTTAAAATTTAATTAAAAGCTTTAATCAATTCTTTTTTATTAACAATAAATTAAAACTTAATTCTTTAAAATTGAGGAACCAATTTAATTAAAATAACTATTTAATTTTAAAATACATTTAAAATTTAAAATTTTACTTGACAAAATGTGCAATTAAATTTAATTGAGTAAAATTAAAATACATTTAAAATTCAAATTAATGACCCGAGTGGTTAATTTTAATTTAAAACTCGGATTAGCCAAATCTAAATTTTAATTAAAAGTCCATCTGATTAATTAATGCAGTTAATTCAAAATAAAATAAAATGCATTGAATAAAATACATAACAATGTTCACACTATCAAACTCTGTACAACTCACAATAAAACACGAACTCCTAAAAAATTAACCAAAGTATAAAATAGAAAGAAAGCTCCAAAATCCTAAACTTATCCCTTTCAACTCCTAGCAAGCTCTAGCTCTTGCAACTACAAGCTACGAGCACTTGCAAATAAGTAGACGAAAGTCAGCGCATGGTAAATTTAAAAAAAAAAACTAGTGTTGGAAAGAACATAACTGAGACTAGTAAAGTAAAACTGGTACAACAAAACTATTACTTAGAGAACAAGCATGTATTAAAATGGATTAGTGCCGAAACAAACATGTATAGCTATGTCTATAGCTATTGTTGAAGTAGGAAAGGTACGAGCAAAATTATAGTACGCTATTTGGAGCTCAGGTAGAAGGATCTAGTGTTGGGTGTATAACTACTCTAAAATCGGCCTAATAGACAACTACTAGCTAAAGCAGGGAGGCAGGGTAAATCCTAGTTAAAGTAATACTCACAACCTCCCAAGGGGAGCTATAGACACTCTCAAGGGGAGTTACAAAATTCTCCCAAGGGGAGCTATAGACACTCTCAAGGGGAGTTATAAACCATCCAAAGGGGAACTACAAATTCAATCCATGGGCCACCTGTAATAGAGGCCGTAAGGCTCGCTACTTGGGCAATCTCTAATAGAGGCCATAAGATTCTCTACCTAGGCAACCTCTAATGAAAGCCGCAAGTTTTGACCCAAATCTAAACAACAAGCAGCTCCTAAATGAGGCCGTAAGACCTAACCTAAATCTAAACTATGGACAACTCTCAAGAAGAGTTGCAAGTTTCAACCTAAACCAAATTAAAATCCACATCTATCCATTTCAATTTACTCAAGATTCCTGAAAGGAGGCAAACCGTGGTTGCTAATCATATTTCCTGGACACTGCAATCAACGATTGTTAGTGTTGGTAGATTGAAAACTATGGTATACCCGGGACGATGGAACCATGGGATCTTGATTGGGTTTACCTTCATCCCCCACAACCAATCTATTATTTTTCCTGATTTTCATTGGAGTTCGGAAGAGTTTTCTCACAATTTTTTCGAAGATTAATAGGAAGTACTTGAGATCTACAAGTGTTTCCTATCAAATTGGCATCAGAGAAAATCTTGAGATCGTTGGTGGGCTGATTTTGGCGAATTTCAGTGGCTGAATTTTGGTCAACGAAGGAGGAAGTTGTTGTTTTTTGAGATCCAAATACAGATTTTTGAACCTACAAAAATCCGGAGAAAGATGGTGGCCAAGAAAGTAGGCGCGTTGGAAGAAAGATTTGAAGGGGAGATGAACCAAATCAAGACAACGGTGGAGGAAAAGATTTTCTCCATGGAAGGACAAGTAACCGATCTTTGGGACATGATGAAGAAAATGTTAGAAATTCACAACCAAACGGTAGCTTCCATGGAAAAAAGGGATGGAAGGGAAAGACACGAATTCTGAAATTCGTAGGGAGGAAGATGAGGTAGAGATCGTGGAGGGAGAAAGAATAAAATTTTATGTGGAGCCTTTCTAGAGGGAGGATAAAAGAGGTAGGTATGGGGAAAGGCATGGGTATGGATGGGCTGAGCAAAAGGGTGTTGATTGGGAATGTCAGGAGGGGTATTGTGGCCGTCGAGGGGTTGAGTTTGAAGGAAGGAGAGGGGAATTCGAAGGGGGTTTGGGTTGTGACAGGGCAAGGAAAGATCAGGAGATGTGGGGAGGGCCAAGCACTTGGGAGACGTGAAGCTATGAAGGAACATGGGAAACAGGGGAGATTAGAAGGCGAGGAAGCTAAAGATGCTCATATTCGAAGGGATGGATGCATATGGGTGGATTTATAAGGTGGAGAGGTACTATGCCGTCAATGAGCTAACAGAGGAAGATAAGCTGACAGCAATAGGCTTATGTTTAGAGGGGAAGACGCTGTCATGGTACCAGTTGAGAGACCAGAGGAGATCCATTATGAGCTGGGGAGAATTCAAGGATTGCATAATAGAACGTTTCCAAACCGACCGGGGAGGAGATTTTTATGAGCAGTTCTTTGCTCTAGTGCAGGAAGGATCAGTAGAAGACTACCGTGAGTGATTTGAGCACCTGACTAGTGGGTGGAGCGATTTTTAGATATTGTGTTGGAGAGGAACTTCGTGAAGGGGATGAAGGTAGAGATCAGAGTGGCATTGAAAGTTCTGATGTCTCGTGACTAGGGGGAGGCCATGAAGTTGGCATAACTAGTGGAAAATCAGAATTATCTAGAGAAAGGAGCCCGGAGCAGCTGCTCAGGAGGCAGATATAGGACGATGACCACTATTTTAGTACCCAAGGGGCCTGCATCAAACAACATTAATGAGGCTCCCAGAGAAACTCCAACAAGAGGAAGTGGGGGGAACTTCAAAAGACTGATGGAGAGGGAGATGTAGGAGAAGAGGGTGAAGGGACTATGCTTAAGATGTGATGAGAAGTATACTCCAGGGCACAAGTGTAGGGATCAAACTCTTCAAGTTCTTACTGTTTGTGATGTCGAGGAAATTGAGGAGGAAGGTGGGAGTACGGGAGAAAGAGAGATGGAGGACAAGCTGCATCTGGATGTGATGGAGGTCTCCCTGAATTCAATGGTGGGATTCACTCCGAATCATACCATAAAGATGAAGGGGAAAATAGCAGAAAAGGAGATGGTGGTGTTGATTGATAGTGGGGTTACCCATATTTTCATCTCCAATCAGGTCGTGGATCAATTGGGGGTGACATCGGTGGATACAGGGTGTTATGGAGTGATGATGGGAGCATAGAAGATGGAGATGGGCTAGGGGCTATGTAGGAGAGTAGTGTTGACCATAAAGGGGGTTCAGGTGAAGGAGGATTTTCTCCCATTGGAGTTAGGGAGCATTGATGTCATCCTAGGGATGAAGTGACTGCAGAATTTGGGGGACGCTAAGGTCAACTGGGGAGCATTGACGATGGAGCTGATGGTGGAAGGGAGAAGGGTAGTGATCAGGGGAGATGTAGGGCTCACCAAAGTCATGATATCACTTAAAATCAATGTGAGGAGCATACCGGAGGTGGGGAAGGTTATCTGATGGAACTGCATAGGCTGGAGGGGATCAGATTGAAGGAGGGCGGGGACATTCCTCTTTTAGTACAAACATGGATTCAGTTCAAAGAGTTTTTTCAGGTGCCTCAGGGGTTGCCTCTTCCATGGGAACACAAGCATGCTACAATCTTGAAGAAAGTAGTTTCACTTATTAGTGTTCATCCATATCGTCATACCTAAATCCAGAAGGATGAGATCGATAGATTGATTAGAGAGATGTTGGATGCTGGGATCGATCAACCCAGTATGAGTTCATTTTTTAGTCCAGTTCCATTAAAGTGTTTTACCAGCAGTTTCCATCATTCCACCTTGAGGACAAGATGAATCTTTGGGAGGGGGTATTGTTATACCGGTCCATTGGACTTGTTCAGCCAGTCCACGCTGGACCGGCCCAACGAAACAACAGCGGAAGAGTCTACCTCTTCCTGTACGCGCGATCCGACTGCCGATCCTCACAAAGCCATTTTGGAAGGTTTTTAAAGGAAGTTTAGCAAAGAAATTAAATGTAGAGACTGTTTAGAGATTTCATTTTGAATTGTATATATTAAATTGCTTGTTTTCCTAGGGTTAGGGTCTCTTGAATTTGGTTGAAATTTGAGATCTCTTAGTTTGTCTTGGGCTCTAGCGGCGTCTAGAGATTGGGAGAGATCGATCCTCCTCTCGAATTGAGGATCACTTTTATCTTGTTTGTTTTTCTTCCGTTAATTGATTTTTGCAATAAAATCTATTATTTTTTTCCTGATTTTCATTGGAGTTCAAAAGAGTTTTCTTGCTGTTTTTCCAGAGATTAATAGGAAATACTTGAGATCTACGAGTGTTTGCTATCAGAATTCTATTAAAAAAGAAGCACAAGTTTAGTACATGAGATATATAGATGTTGATTATGTTAAATCTATCATGGAGAGAAGATTAATTTCTAGATATTGACTCTTTTTTTGTGGGAACCTTTCAACATGGAGAAGTAAGAAGCAAAATGTGGTGTCAAGATCAAGTGTTGAGCTAGAGTTTCAATCAAAGGATTAGGATGTCTGTGAACTATTATATTTGAAAATCCTTTTAGAGGATTTGAAAATTTAGTGGGTTGACTTGATGAGATTTTATTTTAACAATTATTCTGCAGTCAACATAGCTCATAATTCAAAGCAACATGATCAAAGAAAGCATATGGGACTTGATTAACATTTCATGTAAATAAAAGCTAAACAATACGTATCTACATCTTGCAAATGTGCTTCTCAAGGGATTAAATAGTGGAGTATTTTGAACTATTATGTCCAAGCTAGGAATGAAAAACATTTTTTTACCTATTTGAGTGGGAATATTGAAAATTGTTGTTCATATTTTGAAATCCATGCATTTTTTGTTCATAAATATTAGGAACGTTTATATTTGGGAAAACAAATATTCACGTTTTTAGAATTATGAAACTTTTAGTTAGAAGGAATTTTAGTCAAAGGAATTTTATGGCTTATAATTTTCAATGGAATAAAAAAATAATTCTTTAATTTTCCCACATTAAAAATAAATTTGGAGCGCTATATGTTGATTTTGGAAATTTGAACTAATAGGATGCATGATTGCTCCTCCTGGCAGTGGAAACTCTGTTGCAGTTTCTATAAGGTGGCGGTCATTGTCATTTTCTTTTTAAAAAAAACTAGGAGCGGTGGCATTTTGTTGGTGGTGTGATTCAAAGATAGCGGGTCTTGCATTCATGTGTTTTGTTATGTGGGAGTGACAAATTACGTGCATTTTGCTTTGGAAATTTTAAATAATGAGGGCTTTTCAATGGCTATAATAACAATAACAACAACAACAAGAAGCTTTTATTCTAGTACGTGGGCTGTTCAATGACTATAGCAATTTAAATTAAATTGTATTTTAATTTAAACTATAGTTAAGGCAAATATTATGCCTAGCTTATCTACAAACTTAGGTTATGATGAGTCTATAAATACTGTTTGAGACGGGAAATACAAAACTTTTTTTTTTTCATGTTGTTAATTTTTGTAGTGTGAGTTGGATGTGAGTCCTTTGAGTGCGGAACAATTGCTACTATCTAGGTATAGTCATTTCTCGGTATCGACATGAAGTATGTTCTTTCTTACTTTGGTAAATTGGTTTTTTGTTTTGTTTCATTTATGTATATGTTATTATCTTGTTTAGTTCTTTTGATTTTAATACAAAAGTGTTGTCAATAGTCTAATCTGTGGGAATTAATTCTATTTATTTCTTATTTTATTTGTTTTCAATTTCGTGTTGAAATTCTTGAATATTCTCATTCATTTCATTATCGGTTTTTCTTAAATTTTAGTATTTTCTATTTCCTTTTGAAGAAAATGAGTTGTTGGATTGATTGTTAACTTTTTATTTGTTTATTATCAGTTTTCCTTTGCGTGAAAGAATACCATACATCATATTAGTTGTATTAAAAAATTGTACTTTTGAGCCATCTTGCGTCAAAATGCTTTGCTTTGCATTCTAAAGGATCATAGACTTAATGCAATTGAAAATTTGCTCGGGAAAAATGCACTCGTATTAATGCAGGAAATTCTGACACCATAGGATTGCATATAATTAACATAATCACCCATGTTTTAGTGTCCTTTCTTTGGGCTTGACTAATTATCATCAAATTCGTAGGCATAGCAACAATGCTCAGTGCCTCTCAGCAATATATCCTATTTGCATAATAATCCCTCTCCCAAAACAATGGGATGAGTCTACCATGAGTTCATTTCCACTCAACTTGGATGGGGTGACCTCTAACTCATGATTGTTAACAAAGCAGCCATCAGTTGCAACCTTGTCTCATTGACTTTGTACTTACGGTCATAACAAGCTCTCTGACCTCATGTTATTAGCTGCAGTATTTTGCAGCATCTAGTTGCCTGACTTGAAGCTATAAGATTACAGTCAAAGCTCCTTGACTCTTGTATTGGTTCGTAAATCCTTGTATGATGTAACTATAGAATACTGATAAGCGTATGATCACCCATTACCATAGGAATATTAATGCGAACATTATTTGGCTAAACACTTGCTTATCAAGTAGTCATAACAACCTTCTATTGGGAGTTTTCTCTCAGTAGGGAGGGAGAAGGAAAGTTGAAGGCATGCTGCCGCTTGAAATTTGTTAACCCTACATCTAAACACAATAGTCATCACTATGTTGAAATTTGCGTATATGAATATGCCTCTTGAATGACACCCCAGCTTCCCACGTATCATTGAGCCACTTTTCAAAGCTTACATGTTCTCATGTCTACTTTATTTTCCTCTATGTTTGGCTACTTAATTATCATTAATTTGCTGTAAAAAAGATTGGTAAGTTGCTATCTCTTCAAATATATTTTATAACTATGGTGCTTCCTGCATTTATTTGATCTATTTTTTAATCCTAAAATCAATTGTATCACAGGTGTGAGGCCAAAGAAAAGGAAGTTAGTCTTCAGAGGCAATCTATGAATGACAGCCAGAAGATTTTGCATCAAGAGCAAGAGAGATTAATGGAAGGGCAGAGCCTGCTCAATCAAAGGGAAGAGCATCTCCATGTAAGATTGAAAGAATTAAGCCGTGCTGAGAAAGAATTAGCGGAAGCAAAATTGAAGTTTGAAAACGATTCTTCAACATTTGGTGAGGAAAAAGCCAATTTGGAACTTAATGTGGCTGCTCTTGCAAATAGAGAAGAGGTTTGTTCCCAAAAGTCTCAATGATCAGGAGTGTTTATAGTGTGAAGAATGAGGTTTGAAATAGTGTGAGAAGCTCATGGGGCTATTCTTTTTCTCTCTCTAGGCGTCTTGTAGTATGAGAAGCTCATGAGAGGAGGTGACCTCCCTTCACCTTTTCATTGATAGACAAGGGCTTGTGATGAGAAGGTGAAGGAGTTAGGTTTAGCTAATGTAGGGCAGTTGGTGGAAGACAACAAGGTTAAACCAGCTCGTAATGTTCGAATAGATATCAGGTCGTGCAATATTTTCGTTTTAGCACAAGCTACTCTATTTGGAGGAATTGCTGTTAAGCATGACAACAATAATTAGTATGATCCTTCTAGCTTTGGCACTAATGAAAACTCCTATCATATTATAGGCAGTTGTACTTCAGCGATAATAAATAATGTTGCGATAAAAATAATGGGAAAATAGATATCGAGCCTTGTTTTGTGCTCATTAATGTTGATGAATTTAATGCTATGGATACAACAAGCTAGCAAAATTTTGTTTGACTATTCAACATAATCTCATTCGTTCTAGGTACGTCAATGTATTTGTTATGACCCAGCCAGGATACTCGAATTAACGAGACGAGAATGAACAGTCAGATGATTATTATATTTTTCATAAATTTTAAAATATTTTATTATTTACATTCCAAATAAAATTGAAGAGTCAGTAACATAATTTTTCACAACTTAGCATTTACTTGTAAATCATATTTTACCTGCTTTCATTTGAGTGCCATCTTCTGTAGACATGCTCATCTCTTTCAGCAATTTTTACTGCTCTGTAGGCTTACCTGAAAGATTTTAGTTTAACATGTTGAGTTTTCAAAGTAAACTTAGTGGATAATCACTATTGTAACATAAAAATTATACATTTTAAAAAAATGCATCATTTTATTTTATCATTCTTTCCATTTTCATATTTGATATATCAATTCATGTGGAATGGAACTTTATTTTACATCTGTCAAATAATGTATTCATTTTTCTTTTAATTTAACATTCAGGCTTTTTTCATTTTCTCATTTATTCTTTTTCATTTAGTACAGGAGCATCGTCTAAAATTTGTACCAATGCAGGGTGGTTTCACCAAGTATTTTCATATTTGAGTTGGATTACAATTACATCAATGATCAGTCTTAAGTTCATATCTTTTTACTTTAGTTATGATGTCCTCACTAGACATTTGCAAGAGGTTGTACCTGGTGTATGCTTTTTGTTGATGATATTCTTCTGGTTGATAAGACTAGAGAGGGAGTTGAAGGTAAACTTGAATTATGGAGGTCAACCTTACAGTCTAAAGGCTTTCATTTGAGTAGATCTAAAACTGAATATGTATAATAGATCTAGTGGAGTGATTGTGATTTTTGGGCGATCAAGTCATTAATAAGAGCACACGTTTTAGATATATTGGGTCGATTGTTCAGAGTGATGGTGAAATAGATGGGAATATTATTCGTTGGATTCAAATTGGATGGTTGAAGTGGAGGAATGCATTGGCTTGTTGTGTGATAGAAAGTCCCTTTCACACTTAAGGGAAAATTCTATTAGTTGATTGTGAGATCTGCAATGCTTTATGGTGCAGAATGTTGGCCATTAAAAGAGAAGCATAATATTAAGTTAAGTGTTGCAGAGATGAGGATGCTCAGGTGGATGAGGGCTCTTGCTCTTAAAGACATAATGCGAAATGAGCGTATATGTGAAAAGGTTGGAGTAGCTCCAATGGAAGATAAGATTAGAGAGAGTTGTCTTTGATGGTTTGGTCACATAAACGACGGCCTTCCGATGACCTAGTTAGGAAAGTAGATGTATTATATTTGACTTATGTTCAGAAAGATAGAGGTGGACCTAAAAAGATTTGATTAGAAAATATTAGAAATGACTTTTCTCTATTAGATTTAGATGAGAATTTAATTCTTAGCCGACCCCACATACTGGTAACCGGGATAAAAGCTTCTTGTTGTTGTTGTTGTAAAGTAATGTAAACAACAATAACTACTTTAATTGCTTTCGTATGTTTAGCAAGGTTTTGAAACCGGACCGGACCGGCCGGTTCAACCGGTTCGACCGTGAACTGGTCTGGTGGCCGGTCCGATCCAGCTTCAGAACCGGCTCTGCATAGAACTGGATCAAACCAGATTGAATCGGCGGTTCAACCGGTGAACCGGTCCGGGGTGGAAAGAACCGGCCGGTTCATAAAAATATTTTATTTTTGTTTTAATTAAAATTTTAAAAATATATTTTTGTTTATTAAAATTTTTTAAACTTTTAAAAATATTTTTATTAAATATGATGATTAATTTCATCATAATACATGCAAGTTATCTTAGATACCTCACATAATTTATTTTGCAAAGAGAGTGTACTTCTCACTTTATAAAGGTTATATTAATAATCATAAATTTTTTATATTATAAATTTATATATTATTATATTATAGTAAGTATTTTTCTTATAAATATATTATTCTTAAATGATATTTATATGTATAAAATTTTATAAATATTATTAAATGCTCATATACTTATATTATATGATTTTTATGTTATTAATTTTTAATAATATTATTATTTATTACGTCATCCGGTTCGACCCCGGTTCGACCGGTCGAACCGGTCAAACCGTGAACCTCTCCCTCTTCCAGTTCGTTGTCCGGTTCGGTTTCACAACCTTGATGTTTAGACCCCCTTCTAAATCTTCAATTCTCTGAAATAGACTTCCAATACTCATCTCAGCTTAACTATGAAAATCTTCCACTGCTACAAATATCATTAATTTCATTAATTTATCATTGAATAGCTTCACAAAAATTAAATGTCTTATAGCAACTTTAAATTTATTTGACAACAATAAGGGCAACTTCAAATACATCAAAAATCATCTCATAATATGTAACATTGCACGCTTCTTATTTCTCAAACTTATATTTCCAAATGCATTGCACATATAATTTCCTAAAGTAGATTGAAAATTTCAATTATCTCACTTGCATTATTTCCTTACCTTAATTTTGGTTCTTCCTTGTCGAAATCAGCTTTCACCAACTTAATTTCCTTCCCATCGAAAAGAAGATACATTGCTGCTTTCCATTAAGGAATAGATTTTATATATTTTATTCTTGAAATTTGAACAGAAAAAGAATAAGAAATTTGAAAACACTTAACAAAGAAATTTTCCAACACAATTTCTTCCTTTTTCTCTCCCAAATTTTTTCCTTTGCGTTCAGTTGAACCATAGATTCGATTCTCAGACTTAAATCATCAATAATTTATACCATAAGAACCAAAAATATATGAACTTACCTTCCTTCTTTGTCTTCTTTCTCTCTTGGTCGGTTTCCTTCGACACAGAACTTCTCATGGTATTTTCTCATGTAGGAGTGAGCGAACAAAATATATGACTCACGAGGAGTTGTTCTTATTCACTCCCATACGCGTTCCTTCTCTCAGAACCGCGAACCGACCCCGTTCAAAGCCTCCGTGCATGCATGCAGTCCACTCGGTCGGCTGCCTTCATTCGGTCCTGTTTGTTTTCGTTCCGTGCTTGCACGATTTAATGGTTAGGGCTAGCCGATTCAATTGAATCGGCTAGTTTAAACCGGCTCTTACAATCTCCCATCCTTATAAAAATTTCGTCTTCGAAATTTAATAGCAAGAAAGCATATACATACTTTAATTGAATAGATGGGGATATTGAACTTTCGTTTATGCTTCTTTTTCCCCGGTAGCATATCTTTCTGTTCCATGTTTTCATAAAATCTTCACAAAACGGTTTTCCCGATTTCTTAGTTGTTTCACATCATAGTTCAGTATTCGTTTAGGTTCTTCAACATATTTCAAATCAGGCTGCAAGTTAATATGCCAGCAGGTTGTTTCTTAGCAAGATCAATCCATATGCGCAGCTTTGCAAATGTACTTCTTCCTCATGTGCCAGTTTGAGCATCCGCCTAAAGTGGTTGTATATATTCGAAGCAATTCTAGCTAGTTTAGAGTTATTACAATACATTTGGGGCAATTGGAGAAAGCAGATCCATAATGAAGGGGTGAGCCCATATATAGAATTAGGTGAGAATGTTGTAGTCCAGTTGTTCAAGCCAATGATGTATACAATAGTCATCCATGATCCTCCCAGATGAACATCGTCCCTAGCTGTGACATTTTCTAATAAGCAAATGGAGTAATTTGGAGAAAAAGTGATGATATGAAAATCACGAAGGTGTGCCCTTTTAACTTCAGCTCATTGTTGAGCAAGATGTACGGAATCCGTTTCAAAAGAACTTAACTAGAGCACTCTCCAATTTATCAATGTTTTGTTTAACTGAGTTCAGATTTACAAAATGGAGACTCATCCTCTACAAACGCTTCCTTGTTATTTACCATTTCAAGACTGATGAATTCTAGCCTCTTCTAATATTTGATTCACCCACTTTGTTGTTGGGAGTCATCAATTGAGAATGGGCTGTTGCGGGAGGTTGCTTCAATTAGGCCACTGCTGCTATTTAAAATTTCGAGCAAATTCACTCTGCAGAGGTATTAGGGCATTTTGCCAAATAACAGAAGTGAATTGAATTGAATTTGCTGTGTCATTTATGATTGAATTAATTGTATTACTACAATTGTGAGAATCTGTAGCAAAATATTGCAATTTCATATGAGAATTCATGTGCTCGTTACCATTTATGTGAATATCATCACAAGCATCTATGGAAGAATTCCTAGCTGTATATTGATGCACTTTGAGCAAATGAGATTGTATTGAAGGGTTGAACAGAGTTTCCTTGGTTGTTTTATCCATAAGATTGATTTCATCAACATTAGCATGCAAGGAACCAGGCTTCTCGATATTCATTTCCCCCTCCACTTTTGTTTTTGTCTCAATATTTTTTTGTATCACCGAAGTACAACCGCTGATAGCAGGATTGAAGTTGTCGTTGGTGCTAGAGCCTTCCTAGCTTGCTGCCTTGCTTAACAACAGTTCCTCCAAATGGAACAGTTTGAGCTAAACAAAAGCACTTCATGACCAGTTATCTACACTCGTCAAATCTCCCAAAGATGGCCGTATATTAGGGCCTCCTTTGACTTTGCTGTTTTCTACCACCAGCACTACATTAGCTGCATCTAACTCCTTTACTTTCTCACCACCAGCCCTCGTTGGCCAATGAGGTGACTGGAGGTCACTTCGTCCCATAAGCTTCTCACACTATAAGCACTCTAGAGTGAGAAATAAGAGTCCCGTGAGCTTTTCATACTATTTAAGTCCTCATTCCTTAACTACTGGCGATGCAAACCTCATTCTTTACAATCTCTCAAAAGACCTGATCTTTGTATAACGTAATGACATTTAGAAATTGTTTTATTTTTTTTTATTTTTTATGATCAACTGCTACTTCTTTCTGTTTTTGCAGGCTCTCATTAAAAGGGAAGCTTTAATCGACAAAAAAGATAGGGAATTGCTTATATTACAGGAAAAGATTTCTAATAAAGAATTTGTTAGTACTTCAGCTTTTGATACGCTCAGTCATTTCGTATTTCTATTCTTCACATATGCTTCCTGTAGCAATGCCCAATGAATTACCGTTTTTCTTTCCTTGTAGGATGAGATACAAAGGCTTAAAGCTGAATATCAATATTCTTTTGAAAGGAAAACTTTTGAGTTTGAAGCTGAAATGGAGCAGAGAAGGAAATCACTAGAGGGCGAGATGGAAATGAATAGAAATGCTTGCAGTGTCTTCGAGGCTGAGCTTAAGCAAAGAGAGCAACAAATTTTGAAAATGGAAAATTCAGTTAGAACTGATCTTCATGCCATTTCAGAAAAGCAGGAGGATGTGATGAAGAAACTTAATCTTTTAGAGGAGAAAGAAAAATCTCTACTTCTTACAGAAAGGACACTAGAATCAAAGATGCAGGACCTGCAAAAAGAAAAGAAGGAAATTGATGAGATGCGGGAAGAACTTCATAAAGAGAAGATCTCATTTGAAGATGTGAAGATGCAAATTCTTCGTGCAGAGGAAAAACTAGCGATCACTGCGAATGAGAGAAATGAGCTGCTTGTTATTGAAAGAAAATTGAAAGAAGAGATTGATAGCTTTAGAGCTCAGATGTTGGAACTTGAAGTTCAAGCTGGTAAACTGAAGTCAGAAAAGGAGAAGTTTGAAATTGAATGGGATCTAATTGATGAAAAAACAGAGGTGTTGAGGAAAGAAGCTGAACGAATTGCTGAGGAAAGAAGAGCCGTTGACATACACCTTAGGAATGAGCTTGACAGTTTAAATGCAGAGAAGGAAAGCTTGCGCGAGCAATTGAAGAGAAATGCTGAATCCTTGTCTATTGAGCGGGATGACTTCATGAGAAAGATGGAGCGTGAGCATTCAGATTGGTTTATCAAATTTCATAAAGAAAAAGAAGATTTTCTGAATGACGTTAAGATTCAGAGGAAAGAGTTGGAAAACAGTATTTGTAGACGGAGAGAGGATGTTGAAAATTATTTAAAAGAAAAAGAGGAAGCATTTGAACAAGAAAAGAGCAAAGAGCTTCAGAGTATTGTTTCTCAGAAAGAAGAGATCGCCAAACAGTTGAGACATGCTGCATCAGAGTTGAAAAGACTTGACATGGAGAGAATGGAGATTGCCCATGACAGAGAACAGAGGCAGAAGGAGTGGTCTGAGATAAACCATTTTATTGAAGAGCTTAATGTGCAACGGGAGAAGCTACAGAAGCAAAGGGAATTATTGCATGCAGATCGTGAGGAAATTGATAAACAAATTCAGCATCTTCTAAAATTAGAGCATTCAAATATTGAATTAGAGAGTAGAACTCTATATGACTCAAATGCTGATAATCCAAAAGTGAATATTGGCAATCTTTCAAGTAGAAAAGGATTGTATCAAAAAGAAGCAGCAAATAATAGTCATAATCCAGATTGTCAAAAGATCTCTCTGACAGATAGCTTGAAAAACATGTCTTCTATGAATGCCTCTGATAATGCATCACCTCTTTCAGCTCCTATGACCTGGTTTAGGAAATGTGCAGAAGTTATATTCAAGCTCTCTCCAGAAAGAGTTACTGATGCTACATTCCAAGGAGGTGTTGGAAGCGGATCATCAACCAGTTTGCAGCATTATCATGAAAATATTGAAGATGTGCAGAACTTGGAGTTTAAAAGCAATGAGGAGGAAATCAACCATCCAATGGAGGATGGCGTAATTGCTATCAGTGAGGAGAAACATAAATCAAATATAAGTAAAAATATGTTGCCACTGAGAAGAAAGAGGCCTGGTCATGCTGCATCTAATGGTTATAATAGTTCCAAGTCTTATTACAGTAGAAAACATCCGAAGAAACTGAGGCAGAATAGTGTAGCTGAGATGGAAGCAGTCTTAGACTGGTATAATATGTTTTTCTTAAAATGATTTTTAATTTTATATAGACATGCTATGTTTTTTGTTCTTGTTTTTCTTTTCTCCATGTCACACGCACGCCTGCATTTCTGCTTTCGTTGTTTAACATTCATGAAACCCATACTTTACCAAATGAGAGCAGAATTTTTTTTTTCTCCTGAACTTCCTAGGTGAAGTATTAGTATCACCTCTGCATATGATGGACTGAATTAAATAAAAGCATATCTTATGAGGATAATGTTGCTGGGGTATTTAGGCATTTATATGTTCTGCTTTTAAATATTTTCCCTTATCTTTCGAGCGAGAAATAGTATTGTAGATATTCTTATTCAGGAGTTACAGTTATTTTTGAACCTCAAAATTTATGTAGACAGTGGCTTTCCTATCTAGAGTCTGTCGTTCATTTTTTTTATCCCATGTGTGTAAATGAATTAGTATTGGTGAAATGGACTTTAGGGGAAGAGGTTCATGAATCACATATTGTTGAGCATTGTTTAAAATTACGTACTGTGAGGCGCGCCTTGAGGCCCGTCTCAATGTAATCCCAAGGAAAAATGCTTGAGACATACGCCTTGAGCTTTTTTTTTTTAAGGCGTGCGCCTTAGTTTGACTTAACGCGCTTTGTTTCACTGGCATGTGGTGTATGCCTCACCCTATGTATATATATTTTAATTAAAACTTATCTACATCTTAAAGTATAGACCCAAAAAAAATCACATTTTCATGCCCTCCCGAGCTACAATAACTTTCTCTCAACTGCCTCAACTTCCATATATTTCAGCTTACGCCTCGTCTCACGGATGAAAATGCCTCGGTACTCATTTGCAAAATTTTAAACGTGTTATTGAGATGTGTAATTGATGAATATATAATTAGTTGAACATTGTCAAAAGAGTTAAAACCTTTGATAACTTGCATGTGCGCTAGGAACTAGGTTAAGCAGGGATAAACATATGTATATATATTCTTCATTTCCTTTTAGATGTGCAGATTATGAGGCATCATTTCATGATTTTGGGTTTAGATCATTGCATATAATTCCGAATCTTAGGCTAATATCTTACTTTTTTTAAGCAAGCAGTTGTCATAACGTTAACAGGTTGTGTAAAGTTGCCATATTGTGCATGATGCTTGGGCTTATGGTTCGGATATGAAATCTGGGCTTTTGTTTGCGTTTAAGTACATGCTGAATTGCAGGTGAATTGTTTAGGTTCACTTTTGAGGTCTGGAACCAATTAGTTTAACAGCATGCATATTTATATTTACACTTAAAGAAAATGTTTAAGAAAAAATAAGTGATTGGAGATTTCCTAAGTTGTTGGCAAATTCAATGTTCTTTTTCAGCCCAGATGTTAATAATGGAATGCTGGAAGATCAAACGGCAGAAGAGGCTCTTTTGGAGGCTGCTGTGTTATCTGAGGTTATTAGACTGGTAAGATATCGAACCATTTTTTGTTGTTTGTGCCAAGCCCTGTGGTCTCATCGCTTGATTTTGCTTTGGCCAGCTTTTCATGTGAAATTCTCATAATTTGTTTATCAACAGAATTTGTTTATCTTTTTGTATCACTCTAAATATTTCACAAAAATGATGTGGAATGTGGATTTTTGACATCCCCTGCCATTAACAGAATTTGCATTTCATTGGTATAAAATGTCAGCAAGTATGATGGTGTTCCGTATGGTTCTAAGATTGATTGATTGATTAACCATCTCATTTTCTTCTTTAATTGAACTATGCAGGCTGATGCGAATGGGAGTGAGATGAAAGAAGATGTTGAATGTGACCAACAAAGCTGTGAGGATATTGTTGAAGAAGAGGATGAGCAGCCATCTTTAGGAGCCAAGATAAAGAAGTTTCTCATTACATGATCATCATATTAGTGCGTTTTGCTATAGGATTCTTTTATGTGCCGGCGACGAACAATTTAGTTTTGTTCTTTCTTTGGTTTCAAATATATGTTGTATATTGTTGGCTTTTAGTGTGCAGAAGTAGCAAAATCTATTAAGAATGATTGTTTTGTGTTTAATGGTGACGTTAGCTTAACGAAAGGGTGTGTTGAAGAGATGATTTGCTTGCTAACATTGGATGATTATGATTAGCCCTATGAAGGCTCAATTTTTGATCGCATGAACAAGTCAAATTTGTGTTTGCATATAAAGTGTTCTTTAATATATGTATAGTACCTCATATGCACATTAACAAACTGTATGGGAGTATACATTGTTTCAAGTAGATGAATTGTTTAGGAAAGTCTATACAAGAAATACTTCTTATTATTTTTCAAAATAATTTTTTAGCACAAACTAAAATTTTTACTAGAAAAGTGCTTTAAAAAGTAATAAGAAAGTTATATCTTAAACGAAGTCTTAGATTTTGATTGAGACAATTTTGTTACTCCTTTATAAGTAGTTTTCTAATAAATATTTTTTTGAAGCACTCAGAAAGGATCTGCTGAAATTTGTTCCAAACGACATCTTAGGCCTTATTTTGGACGGCATTCTTATTGCTGCTTTAAGAAGTTTTCTAATATAAAAATTTAAGTTTTGCATTTAAAGGTTATTTTAAAAAGTTGTAAAAAAATGGCCTCAAATGAAACCTTAGTTATTGTGCAATTCTTAACTACTAGCATCTTCTAAGAAAGATGACATTTGGTGAATGGGCATAAATAATAGAGCTGTTAAAAAGATTATAATTAAATGTTTTCAACCTCAAATTGAGTGATATGCTGGATGTTGCTGGAAATGACTCATGTTTATCGAAGATATATATATTTAAAAAGCGGAATATCGTCATATTTGAATCAGGCCAGGAAATGAAAGGAAGATTGTTTTCATGTCATGCGCTTAAGGCCTAAGTTTACGTTTAAATATTCAAAGTTCAGAGATAATATATTCGATGAATTTAATGGAGATATAATTGAAAATGTTTATTTTTAAATTTAAAATAATTATATATTTAATACAACAACAACAACATCAAACTTTTATCCCACAACTTGGGGGAAAATTATTAGGTCAATAAAATATTGACATGTGGACACGTATCCGCGGAATTTTAAGTCAAGCACATAAAAAACGCAGGTAAAGTGCAGGTAAAGCGTAGTCAAAGTGCAGTCAAAACGTAGTAAAAAAGCGCAGTCCACGTGACAAATTTTAATTGGATATCCGGACCTAATAAGTTTCCCTCCTTGGGGGCGGTTACATGAATCATTTTTCTCCATTGTGTCTTATTTAGTTTAGTCAAATTCTCATTTAAATCTAATAAATAAAGATCATTTTTAATATTTTCTAACCAAGTCTTTTTAGGTTTAAAATAATTATATATTTAATGATCTGAAAATTTTTAATAATTATATTTATGAAATAATTAAAATGAAGGTCTAAATTGAAATGGAATTGTTGCCAAAGTTGTCTAGGATATTTGTAAAAATATTCAAGTGTCTAGGCCAACTGTGTATTAAGTCTAAGTTTCAAATGGATTGGATTCTTATTGAATCTAGTCTGATTGGATTATTTTTTGATTGGACCTAAACCAAATCGAAATTGTTAAAAAAAAAAAAAAAAAATCAACACTTTGCTTAAATGTTATTTGATGTTCTGCTAGTCTTGCAAGCTGATTGTTTTGGATAGCACCCTTATATATGCTATTCACATAGAAGTCACAATAGGGAGGCAAACAAACCGAGATGAGCCCAAGCTTTAGCTTGTTCGAGCTCAAGCTCGTTTGGAAGGACACTTTTCGAGCCCGAATTGATTAAAAACAACCTTTTCTTATCCTTGTTCGAGCTTGAGCTCGTTTTAAAAATGTTGCTCAAGCTTAGTTCGTGTTCTTGATCAAGCTCGCTTATTAGCTTACCAGCCTCCTAGCGAGCCGAGGATGCTTAAAGATAACTTCAATTAGAGGTGAAGGCTTCTTAAAATTTTTGGTGCAAAGAAATTTTAAGTTATTCTAGCTCAATTAAGTTCAGGAGAATCTGTAGTCGAATTACAAAGTGAGAAACATTAAGTGCCAAATGTTCATTGGGAGCACCAAGGCACTTCAATGGCGTCGCTGCCCTCTTTTGGTTGCGGAAAATTTCTAGCAGTAAGATAACATCAATTGTGGCATATCAATCACTGTTAGTTTGCCAACAAGAGATTTATTTTACAATTTCTTTGCCAATGATGATGAAAAGACTGTGCACAAATAGTATTTTGATAAAAAATCTAATCCGTCAGCATCGGTTGTAAAAGAAAAACTGTTAGATCATAAAAAGTCAGACCACTTCAAGCACTTTGACCAATCACGAAGGATAAAATGATTAAAAATAAAATAAAATAAATGTATTTAATCATCAAAATATTTAATATTCATAATCTTAAAAAAAAATAAGCATTGTTTTTTTTTTAATAATACTAGGCAGAGCAAATTGTCAACTCTCTGTTCCATTACACATTTCAATAAAAAATAATATTATCTCTCTTTTTATTTTTCTTTTTCAAAGGAAAGCCATTGAAAAGTATTTTCAAATGAAGTTGGTTTCTCCATCATACTTGCTGCATAGACTTTGGAGAAGCCATTGGAGCCTTAAAGTGATCCGCAAGGACAAGATAAGACAAGAGGTACATGGTTGAGTTGAACATGATCTCCAACGTTTAGTAGACTTTTGGGCTTCCATGATCAATGGGGATTAAGTCTTCTATGAATTAATCTCTATAGAGTAGTTGATATATTAACTAAAAATAAAGGGAGTTAGGATAAGGATTAATGATAATGATTGAAGGAGATTAGTCAACTATTAATAAAGAAGTAAGCCTATGATACCTATAGAAAGGTTTGGAATAGGAGCTCGTGGCTATTGATAAAATATAGATATATTTTCTTTTTTATAATGTATCTATAGTAACCATATGAAAAACTTTATTTTTTCTTTTATGAATAGTAGAAGTTTTAATTACAAAACTATTTGATTATGCATGAATCTTGGTGCATGTTGGAAATAGACACTTTCAAAAGTAAATTCAAGACAAACCAAACTTTAATTTTAGCAAACTTATAGGTAAATTGAACGTGTGGATGAGATGAACCTATTGACACTAAAAGAGATTCGGTCTGAGTCCAAATGAGCCCTTATCAAGCACTTGAAGCATGGTTAAAAGTTTTGGGACATTAATCAAATGATCACTAAATCTTACATGCATGATTATAATCAAATTGAGCATCTTGATGAGAGAAATCCATCGAGCCCAATATCGCTTAATTTTTACATGATTAAGGCACTTAAATATGAAAAGAATGATCTATGGTCAAGAAAATAAATATGAATCAACCGATGGAGTATTTTAGATTTCTCTCTATTTATGGGGCATTCCACTCAAACAAAAATTTACAAATAGGTCCCTACCATGTATATGAAGAGGACACATTGTTTAAAATTCAAGAGAGTTTAGAGACTTGAAGAATCTCATAACTCTACCATGATCAGGTCATGCATATTATCACCCATCAGGGTGCACTGGCGAGAGCCTCAATCCTCAATGGTTGATCGTATGTAGGCATACGACCGCACCACCCCGAGGGATAGAGACGATCGAAGGCCTCCACGCTCTTCACAAGCGGGCCAATGGAAGGGCAGATTAGATCGTACATATGATCAACCATTGAGAATACCAGAGCACCATTAACGAGCCATCACCAAAGCACCATCATCGACTACCACCATTTGATCATCGTTCGACTACTGCTATAAGTGTAACACCATAGAATTAAATTTAAAAGAATTATCTATTTTATTTCCTTAACTAATCAACAAAAGCTTCTATAAATCATCATAATAATAAATATATATCCAATAAAAGTAACTAATAATTGCATATCTCAAAATATTAACTATATTCATTCACTCAAAATCAATATACAATAGTCAAGAGATCAATACAATTACTATTCTATCACAAACTCTTAACTATAAAAGAACAATGGAAAATATAAATAAAATCAAAAGAAAATATGAGGATCTCTGTCAATCTCTCTACTTGATCTTGGCTATTCCCTGACTTGAAATCATTAAAATTCATATAACGAGCCAAGAAGCCTAGTAGTAAACCAAACTCGCTAAAGCTTTTAATATAATGCTAGAAGATCAATTAATATGCATACTCAATTCCGTCAACAAGATCAATCTCATCAATAATTAGTTATCTTTTGTAAATATCAAAATGATCAATAATAAAAGTAGGAAAATCATTACAATGAATATTAGAATCAATAACATGCATGAGAATCAATAAATCAATAAAACAGTGGTACTATAATCATTCAAGCGTCAGTAAAAAGAATCATATGCATATATGTGTCAATATTATCAATCTTATCTCTTCTTACATCCATCCTATCAATTATATGTAATAAATATTTTTATTCATTCATATGCTATTTATGTACACATATTACTTACAATGAATAGAAGAAATCTTTGAATAAAATTGATGGACGAAAAAGCTCATAATAATATTCTCTCTCCTCCCTCTCTCTTCCTTCTTTCTTAAGGCGCGCACAACGCTGAAATTTAATATTTTCATTTAAACAAAAAAAACATTTCAAAAATTTGAGTTATTTTAATAAGACTACCACCTAACCACCATCCTTGCACTTTCGCTCAACTGTTATTGTAGGGCCACTGCAACTTAATCATCATTATTAGACGCCCCCCCCCCCTCCACACACACCACCATTATTATTCTGCAACCATCAAACCATTACCACTCGACCACCATTGATGCCCAGTTATTTATCGACCACCATCATCAAATAACCTCCATCATTGATCTACCATCGTCTGACTACCGTTGCCTATTAGCCTTATTAGATTATTACTGCCCGACCACTGTCATCAAGCTATTGCCTCCTGACCACTAACATCTTACAAATGCCATCACCAAATTACCACCATTGGACTACCCTCCACCAAATTATTATTACTTTTAGACAACTGTTTCATGAACAACAATATCAAACTACTATCACACAATCACAACAACCCAAACTCCTTTTATCTCATAATAACTATTTAATAATTTTTGTCAACCCCTCATATGCTTATAAAGTAGCCTTCTTCTAAGAGCCTCTATTTTTGGGTCCACTTATGTTAAAGCAACTAGGATAATATAAGTTAAATCAAACAAAGGTTAGGTTAGGTTGGGTTTAGAGCCTCTAATAAGGGAAACCTAGAGTCTACTAAGTCATGATTAAGTATAGTTTATGGTAAAGTTAAATAAGGGTTATGAAAGTTAAGTATGGTCTTAAATAAATTGGCCAAGCCACCTATAGAAATATAGCGGTCCATAAAGTAACCAAGATCTTGCCACGATTAAGGCCAACAATTTAGATATAGTCCCTCCCTTGGAAGAGGGAGTAAACCATAAACAATCACTAGTACTCTTAAAAGCAACTAAAGCTTCAGAATTCCTTGAGACAAACGGATTTCACTTTAATTTTAGTTGTTTAAAATGCTTAAAATAAACTACTATTTATATGCTTCTGTTCGAGCTATTCATCATGTTCATCAAAACATTTTAAATATATAGAATATCATATGGATTAGTAGCGACTTTCCCTAAATAGAGAGGAAAAAATGACTATCACAAGCTTAGCTTGGCCTAATGGGTCGACATGTGCTAGAGCAACCCTGGGTGGTTGGTTTAAGGTGATTGTTTGGTGATTGACATTGCAAGCAATATCTTGGTGGATGAATAAATGTATCGAGCAAAAGCTAAGGACAAAACGGTCATAGAGAAAGTGGTTAAGGGATTGTCAATTGATCCTTGGACTTGCTAGTGGGGGCTATCACATGCCTAAAGTAGATGACTTGCGAGTTGGTGTAGCACTATGAAATGATCTATACTTGTTCATCAGCTTATTGTAGTTCAACTAGTCCAAACCTTGTTAGAATCATCGTGATGAGAATATCATTTCTATTATAAATTTTCTATTGAAATAATTTTTAGAAATTGTAACATCAATTTTTGAGTGCTTATATATCCAAATTTTACATCGAATTTCATGCTAAGTTGAAGAAAAAATTATGAAAAATCTCATTGCAAAATTTTACTTTTTAAATATATTTTCTATAAGAAAGTAACTAAATGAGCCTTTGGAAAACATTGCTAAGATTTGATTGTAACCACCAAATGGATAAAATTGACTTTTTTCATACTATTATTTTTATCATGTAAAAAAAATTATCTTGAGTTCTATATTATTAAAAAAAATCTTATAGTTAAAACATTTTATATAATATTTTAAAATGAATTATAGAATAATTGTGTACTTTCAAAAGATACAATTCACTCATTAAGAATTTCATAAACCATTTTATTATGCTCTTTGATATTTGAGTAATAATATTATATATATAGATGGAACCATTAAGACCATAAATATGTAAGCTTTTGATATTATATATATGAGATTGCTTGTTTTTTTCATTGACAAAGCTGATGATGGGTTGTAATATGATCTTAGGGGTGTTCAATGGAGATAAATCAAGATAATTTTAAGAGTTCATTCGATTGCCTAAATTAAAATTATAGAAAAAAATGATAATTTTAAACCATAAACCCTAAAATTATCCCAAATGAATTCCTTTGGGATAATTTTCTTACCTCTTTCTACAATAGTTTTTTAGAACAAAAAATTCCTTTAAAAAAAAAAAAAGAGGCCAAAGACAGTCCTAGCTAGCGCCTTCAAGACTTGTATTAAATCATGAATAAGCCTGCATAAATTGTGAAGGTTGACCTTAAACAAAATTGAAATGAAAATATAATCTCCTTTACTTAAAAGGTATAATAATTAGTATTACTTCGAAAAGTAAAAATAAAATAAAATTGTGTAGCTCAGAATATAAGAAAAAGAAGTCACAACACATAAAAGTCGTCTTACAGAAGAAAATGTCTAATTACAATCTGAAGTAAATTAGCCTTTGAATATTCAGAGCCAAACATAATATTCAGCTTGTCTGACTCTTTGTCCTGTAACTCAATTAACTATCATATTATTCATGACCAATTATCCAAAATAAACTGTAGTTTTATACGAACAAAACCATATACATACAAAACTATATATACGAGTAACTTAGATATTCACATTATTAAACTATATGTGAGGTCATGATGGTGTAGGTCCAGTTTGCTGATGGTTGCATTATATATATTCTACTCGAGAAAGACAAGCAGGGCAAAGAAACTCCAGCTATTTTTTTAGTAATAATTCCAGTCTCTCATTGCTCTTTTTAAACTCTTAAGAAGAAGAAGAAGAAGAACAAGAGGAAGAGGAGGAAGAACAAGAAGAAAATAGCCATGGGAAGAGCTCCTTGCTGTGACAAGGAAAACGTGAAGAAAGGGCCATGGTCACCAGAGGAAGATGCCAAGCTCAAGTCTTATATAGAGCAGAACGGAACTGGTGGTAATTGGATTGCTCTTCCACAGAAAGTTGGTATAGTTTCATCTCGATCTTAATTATTCACATGTTTTTATGGGTTAGATAGCTATCTTTTTCCATAATCTCCCTTACTAATCTTATTCCAATTATTTGGCTTCCTTCTATTATAATTTAAAAGCCACAAATTTGACTCTAATAAGCAATCATCTAAGCTATTTTTCAATGTTTTTCACTAATCAAGTTGATAATCAAGTGGAATTCTATGTCCAGGATTGAAAAGATGTGGCAAGAGTTGCCGACTTCGATGGCTCAACTATCTTCGACCAAATCTAAAGCATGGAGCCTTCTCGGAGGAGGAGGAGAACATAATTTGTAGCCTCTACATCAGAATTGGAAGCAGGTCTACAGTCTACTATTAAATTATTCATGTTTTGTTATATATATAGTAGCTCAACATTGCAAAAAAAAAAAAAAAAATTAGTTGAACCTGGAGCAGTTATTAATTGTCTTTGCAATTGTAGTTTAGTGAATCAATCATAGGATTCCAAGTCAATGATCAGAAATTAAAGCAAAAACACTCTATGTTGCTATCTCTCTCATCAAAAATTGGCTACTGATTTCTTCAATCAACCAGGTGGTCATTGATTGCAGCCCAGTTGCCTGGGAGGACCGATAACGATATAAAAAATTATTGGAACACCAAGCTCAAGAAGAAGTTGCTCGGCAAATTTCCCCGCAAAGATCACCATCAGAATCAGTACACCTGTCGAGCTCCTAAACAAGATCCCAAAAATCCTCACAAAATCCTCAACAGTCTTGAAATTTCAAATGGTGATTCTCCCGCCGGCTGCTGGATTGAGCCAACATTGCCAGCCTATATCCCTTCTTCAACCGAAATCAAAAGACTCCTCCCAAAGCCGGAAGGAACTCCTCTCTTGATTTCACCAGACCATTCTCTCAATGGCACAAATTCGCATCTCTTGGCAACTTCACCTCAGCCCAGCTCCTTTACTAATTGCTTAAGCAGCTCTTCGGCCGAGCTTGACGACATATTTGGCCAATTTGATTCTTTCTATGAATCGACCGGAATGTCGAGAGAGATCATAGAATTGCTTAGCATGCCTGATCAGGTCATTAACTCTTTGATGTATCCTTTAATGGAGGCCAGCACCGCGGTGAGCTACCAAGGCTCAATTGGTGTAAATGGTGGCTTAGTGTAGATTTTTAGGATTGATGATGATGATGATGATGGTGATGATATGAAATTCATTTTACATTCATACCAACACAAGAAGCTCATCAGAGCTAGTTGTATTTGTGTTTTGCGCATTTGTTTGATTTTCATAAAGAGGATTGGTGATAGAGTTTGTGAAGTGGTTGGCATTATTCAGATTTGGTTTTCCTTCATTGCTTGTTCATATGTTGTGGTTGCCAGTAAATTTGTGAGTTGAGCTCGAAGATTGAAATTTGTTTGAACGTATATCAATTTTTGGCTCAGATCAAAGTTAAAAAGGCAACTGACAAGCTCTAATATATAGAATTTTAACAGTCATAATTAACTCAAACTGTAATCAGATTGAAAAACTGTCAGATTTGGTTTGAAAGATGTGATCATTAACAGCAAAGATCTGTTTGTCTCAATGTAACGTTTTGATCAGAAGACTGAACTGTCTTGTTTTCCAAGTGATTAAGGTTCAGGTCAACATCACAATCACTCCAATGCTAATTTTCATGATGCATGTCTGTCAATATTATACAGCAAAGAAGAAGTTGGATCTCAAGTTGCAAATTTGTCAAAATGGCATTCTTTCTCTAGCAGGAAAAGCTTATTTGTTACGTTTTTTATCTTCTTTGCAGATCTCAGTAGGGTAAAAATAAGGCTGAGTTACTTTTAAAAAAAAAGAAAGTTTTTATTTTGGAACTTATTTTGGAACAAGTATTAAAATTATTTCATATAAAGCAACTTCTAATTGCAATCTCTTTTATAAAATGAAGAAACCAATCAAATCAGCACTGTTTACTCATTTTTACTATGCTTGCTGTGAATATCCATGTCTACAATAGACAAGGTGTTTCCTGGAATTTTCTCCTTATATATTCACTTCACCTATTTATGGGGACACCAGAATATTTCCAGGAATGACATGTTTTGTATTTATGTCTGATTCACTTCTTTGTCTTCTTTTTGTGATTTGGAAGTTAATGCAACAAAATATTAGTTGCCAAAAAAAGGATAATCATTAGTATTATTGCATTATTATATATTTTCAATTAATCGGTATGGGACTAAATTCAGTTCTCATGCATGCTTAACTAATAATTCTCTCATGTGAGAGCTCTTCATATCGACCATCACTATTAAATCAGAAGCTCACAAGCATTATGAACTACAAGTCCACTCAACCACAAAGATGTTATGAGAGTCATTAGCTCTTCAATATCACTAAACCATGGTATAATGATAAAAAAATTTGAGTCGCAAAGAGTATGAGCTGTCTAATCATAGCCAAACAATTACTTAAATACTGCTTTTTAGGGAGTATGAACTAAAAGATAATAAAAATTGGCCAACTAAACTAATAGTCAATCCCAATTCAACTCAAAAGTTTAAGACAATGGGTGAACCTCAATCAAAGTAGGCAAGATTATTACAGCATTTGAGAGTTACCATCAATCTTAACAAAACCACATGACTTGATATCATTGTCAGGGAATATGATATAAAGGGAAATCAAATTTGAGCCATATGCACTATTTGTTGAGCCTGATTTAAGCTCAAAAGCTTAAGCTTGTAGATGAGGGTCATGTAGTGCACATATATATTTTTAAGCTATTTAATATTGGACTAAATCCAATACTCATATATAACTTAATAGATCGTTTTTTTTTGTTTTGTTGAATTTGAGCCCATATGAAAAGATACCTTAATAGCTTTCTATACATAAGATTTTCTTCAAAACAATATGGTATTTCATCGTAAGTTTTGTTCTTGATATGAACTTGATGTAATAAATATAAGTTATTCTTGCCGACATGAACCAGTTTTAGTAAGTTGCTAGTTCTATATATAACCACTTCATGAATGCCCTAAGTCATATAAAATTACCTTCTCACTAAAGACTCCTAGATCAATTTTTCCATCATCAAAGGAAACTTGTTTAAATCGCTACTAATCATCAAACTCACCATAGAACTCACCACAAATTCAAGATAAAAACCATTCCTCAAATATCTCTCCTCATTTTATAACTTATCATCAGTTGCCAAAGTACTTGGATAGTTATAGACTAAAAAGAATTTTTATAGCAAGTGTCATTAATCTAAGCTATATGGTTTTATTTACTCAAATGTAGATATTCATGCAATTCTCTTAAGCTAAAACCCAAACCTGTAAAGAGAGAGTTAAAAGTTTTAGTTTAACACATTATGATTTAATTACTCGAGTCAAATTATACTACAGAAAAATTGTCAATTACCAACGTTATTTTCAGGCTGTTCATATTACTTTTCCGACGGTTTGAGAATATACCGGTGGTTTTCCGGCAGTCTGTTAACCACCGGTATAAATCGAGTAGGAAACAAATTGCGGTGGCTATTTTCCGGCAGCTAAATGTTCCAGCGGCTTTCCGGTGGCTAGAACATCCGGTAAATTTTGACGGTCAAAGCGCTGGCGACTGTCGGGTAATTATCGACGGCTTACCAACCATCTCAAACGCCAGTAGTGCCGGCGGCCAGGCTGCCGGTGGACTGCAAGCACTTACCGGCGGCTATATTAAAACATCGGCGACTAAATAATCCGTCCAATATCGGCATTATTAACATACCAGTAATTATATTAAAGTACCGATGGCTATATGAACACAAGTAACAACTTATGCATACATATCCTTAATGACTTGAATATGAGCATTATTAACCCCTTTCTTTTCTAGAACACTCCATAGCACTTCTCTTGGAACTTTATCATATGCTTTCTCTAAATCAATAAATATCATATGTAGATCCTCATCATTCTCTGTATGATTAAAGTAAAAAGATATGGGCTTAAGGTTGATCCTTGATGTAATCAAACTGAAATATGAAAATACTTGATCAAACTATCTAGTGTTTGAACACAAGTAATAGCTTGAATATAAGCATTATTAATATTTTTCTTTTCTAGAACTCTCCATAGCACTTATCTTGAAACTTTATCGTATGATATCTTTAAATCAATAAGTATCATATGCAGGTCCTCATTATTCTCTCTAAGGCTTCGTTTGGGACGGCTTTTTTATTGCTTTCTAAAACGGAGTTTTAGTACAATTTTTTTTTATTTTTGTACTAAAACTCCGTTTTAGAAAGCAATAAAAAAGCCGTCCCAAACGAAGCCTAAATCAACATCCATGACTAAAGAAAAAAAAAGTAAATGCAAGGAGAACCTTCGGGGCGTTCGCAGGCTGGAGTGAGTGCGTTGGCGGGCAGAGTGAGGGCGTGATCAGTGGTGGGAGTGAGGGCGTGATCAGCGATCGGAGTGAGGGCGTCGGTGGCCAGAGTCATGTAGACACAGTTGGAGGCGAGCACGAGAGGTGTCTGAATGAAAAACAAAAATATGAAGAAATGAGGAGGAAGGGCATGTTTGGCCGATTTTAGGTCAATTTATGATGTTTATCCGGTAGTTTGGACTGCCGGAAAAAAACCACTTAACATTGGCGGCCAAACCACCGGTAATATGTGATGCCCAAACAAAAAATCGGTGGCCTATCCAGTGGCTATTTTACTGTCGGCATTTCCGGCGGTTTATTATTAAAAATTGTTGGTTAAAATCGATGGTCATACAACTAGTTTAACTGTCGATAATTCAGGCAGTTCTTTGACCGTCGATATTACCACCGATAATTTGTGATTTTTCTGTAGTGTTAGCTTCTAATTTTATCTTTTTATTTTAATTCTTAGAGGCGTAGTACGTAAGCATAAAAGATATCAAGGGCAAAAAGCTAACTTATGGATCATATTAATGAAAATGAGGGATTTTTGCAAGTTGAGTGTTAGGGTTTCATCACTACCAAGTAGTTGAATTAGATGTAGATTTCTTAACAAGTGTGGTCCAAGATATTCATAGGAGATTCTTAAGAACTACTCCTTTTAATGATATTCCTTTATAGAAAAGATCTTACATATTCTCTAATAATTAATGTCATTTTCCTTCTAGAGAAAGTACCTTTGAGACACCAACTCCTCATCATTCTATGAAGACTTAACCATAACTTTTGAATGACTTATTTATTAAAATTATGGGGGGTTCATCTTCATCAAAGTTTAAAATCATATATATTGACTCATATAGAGGGAATTCAAACATCAATGACTTATCCTTGAGTGTTTATTACATCATGATTGAAAGTACATATGTAGATTCTAAGAACCTATATAAAAAAGAAGGGAAAGTATGCCCCTGTTTGTATATCTATGTGTTTATGAAAATATGAAATAATGTGCATCAAATAGTTTTCCTAACTCATAAGAAATCAAATTTGAACTTTGTGTATGGAAAATGACTTGAAATTCAAGTCATATAAAGTGATATAAGCTAACCAAGAGAAGGTGCAAAGTAAAATTCTCGTAGATTGATCCATCTAATTTTTCTTACTTCTAAAAAATATTATTTTCTAACTTTTAATAAGTTAAATATAATTCATTTTCACTTCAAAAAGTAGAATTCAATAACATATTTATGATTTTAAATTCCTAAGAAAATTTGTATGTTGTGCTTGGTCTAAATATTTAGGATTTTAAATTCCTATACTCGACGGTTTAGGCATTTGAACATCCTAAATATATGAAGGATTTTTATAATGCATATATAGGTATAAAATTCATTTTATTTTATTCTTTGAATCAATCTTACTATTACTCATGAAAGGGTTTCATATGTAAGTGTTAATCTATTTGAGTAAAGACATGCTGGATCGATAGGTTGATAAGAAATACATACATTATATATAAAGAGAGAGAGAGAGAGAGAGAGAGAGAGAGAGAGAGAGAGAGATGGACTTTTCTTTTGTGCTTGTGTGTGAGATGGGCTTTTTTATCCTTGGGGTAAAGTATCAATTTTCCATCAAATAGATTTTTATACTATTACCTTTAAAAGTAAATCAAAATCATTCATTTGCTTTGACATTATTAAAACTAATGACATAAATGATTCAAATTTTATTATGATTGTTTTATCATCAATCTAATGCACTAATTTTTTAATGATAAATAATGTTGATTATTTTATGATAAGGTAGTTATGATTTCATAGTAAAATTCTTGATAGAATAAAAACTATTTTTGCAACGCTAATCCTTTACAAGTTTGTCACATATCCATTGTAATTTGTTATTACCTTAATTATCTTGTTGAATTATATTGCAAATCTTGCCAAACTATAACAAACTTATAACAATTTTGAAGATTCATGAGATGCCAATGCTAATCAAGCATATAATTATATAATTAAACAAACAAGTCCAGAAATAACACATATTATAGCATAAAGATTAATAATAAAATTATAAAATTAAACATGATAGATTCAAAAACTTTGAGCATCAAATTATTTCTAGAACTAAAAAAGTTCATCCCTATTAAGGAGTAATTTTAATTTCCTCCCCATTATGGAGTTGCATCTCCATTATTGTCCTCATCTTCACACTCTATAATAGTTGTTGCCTTCCCACATAGAGTCTTTCACAAAATTATTAGATTATTTGTGCTACAAAATGATTCAAGTGTCAATAAACTTCTCCTTGAGCATATTCTCCATCGCTTGCTATGTAGTGCTATGACATCAAAATAGACTTGCTTAAGATACATGAGACCCATTATAATATATATACACAATACAATAACTATTCATCCTATTGAACTAAAAAAAGCATAAACATAGGTCAACCATGAACTCAACCTTTCTTTTAGTCACATGTTACCTTGCTCCAAACATGATCCTCGAAGTTTCTCTAGTTGGCAAATGAGTCTCTATACTTTCTAGTGAAGGTAGTATATAGACATAATATATCAATTAATTAGTAATATATATTTATATATTATGCTAAAGATAATGTCCATATTTATGTGATAAAACATATGATCCCCATCTTCCTATAGGTTCTCTCTCTGCCTGCCAACATCTCGTATAATTAATTAAATAATTTATTAAAAATAAAATATATTTTGTACAATATAATTTATATGAAATAACTGATAGTTTTTCAATACTTCTAACTCGTAAAATTATATTTTACACATTATAATTCATATACCATAGAGTCGATATTCATTTCATAATGCAACTACCAATTTACTACTAATTTGGATGGTTATAGTGATCAGTTTTTTTCTTCTTCTTCATTCTTTGGAAACATTTGGATGAGGAATCCTTCCATCTTCCTTTCTGCCCAAAACTCTCCATTCACCAATTGGTATAGGAAAAACGTCAAAAACCGGCGGTATTACCCGCGGTCATATAACAGCCGGTCATGACCGCCGGTAATCAGCGTTTTTCCTGTAGTGCAATCTTAGGATTTTAAAAATCATATTGGTAAGGATGCCAAACCATTCAATTTTTATTTAAAACCTTCAAACTCCTTGTTTGTATCCTTTACTTGTATGCATTTAATACTATTAGTAAAAAAAATCTTAATCTAAATCTCAATGAGGAAGAACAGGATCTCCCTAGGGAGAACATTAACGGGATCAACGACATCTAATGACAAAGAAGACGTGAGGAGATCACAATGAGATATGTCTAGAAAAAGCATTGAGGGATCAAGAGAAAGAAGAGTTGACGTGTGATAGAAACCTAACGAAAAAAAAAATGAGAAAAAATATTTTTGATATTATTTAAAGAGCTAAGTATTATATTAGAAAAATATTAAGAATTTAATCTTAGATATGTAAATAAAAAAATTTTAAGCATCATATATATATAAATTGCCCTTAAAAAAAATAATATGAAGAGGTTAGCGCGTATACAATTTTTTTTTACATGCACTTTGTATTATTTACATGCAGTCATGGTCGTTATCTTTTCTATTGTTTTTGGTAGGGGGAGAGAGAGAAAGAGAGTGGTGATGTTACTCTTTAAGGACAAACGCAGTCACATCAAAGCATTATTAATTGATTTGTGTTCCGAGAAAGAGCTTTAAATTACTCATTTATTTGCTTTACAAAAGTTGACTTCTGATTTAATATTTACAAGTTTCGTTAAGCTGACATATCAGTTTGTTGCGTTGGTCGGGCTTATTTTCCAATAATGCTTAACCAAACTAAACTCATTAATTAATCTTCTGATAATATTGGTTGATTCCATAGAAAAATACAGACTTTTGTACAACTCCAGCTTGTTATGTAAAGAATAAGGTAGGTTTAGGTTCTCCTTGCACATGAAGATAAGCTATAATATTTAATTTTAAAATCAAATTTCGATGCATATGTAGATTTATGTATGATCATATAAATAATATAATGTTTACTAAGGGTTTGTGTTTAAGACGGCTACAAATTTTATAAAATTTATTGTGAAATTGTTCTAAGGAAAATAGCTTAGATTTCGTTTCAGCTAGCTTTTTAGTACAAAAATTTCACCTAAACAGTAGTAAAAAGCTAAACCAAACGAAACCTTAACTACTCGGTTTGAAAACGCAGCTTTCCACCATAACAAATTTTAAAATAAGTGAGAAAGTAATAAAAACGCAATAGTCAATTGAAATTATGATTGTTGTCTGTAAAATAAAGCATTTAGAAAGCTATCACAATTAGACCATAAGATAACTTCAATTGAATGTATATTTACATATAACATTTTACATTATCTTCAAAATTAAGATCACACAATTGATTATGACATAGAAGATTAGAATTGTATGTTAATTGAGCATGAATGACTTTCAAGTTGATTTAATCATTAATCAAACTTATGTAAAATATATGAATAATAATATAGTAAATATATAAAATATAAAAATGATTCAATTAAAACGAAGTTATTGACTCTCCTTCTATGTTGAGAAAAGCCAACCTTAAATGCACTTGCAAGTATGGGTATTGAACTTTATACTTGCAATAATGACCACATTTGCCAAAAGGTTCTCATGATATAAAAATAATATTTTGATGTCATCAATGACATAAATAAAGGAGGGAAGTTGACTATATCAATCAAATTTGTTAAATTGTCAAATTAAGAAATGTAAGAGTCTTTGTTGTCTATAATTGAGAAGCAACCTCCCAACTTTACCTTCAATTAACTCAGAAAAAAAAAAATACTTTTATTGTTGTAGGAAAAATTGCAAGAAATTGATATTAGGATGATGAAGAGGAAGGATGGATATATTATTAAGTAAGATATGCTTAAGCTTTATTTGATGATGTGGTTGGCAAGTGAACCTATAACCTACTGAACAAGTATGAGTAGGATTCTTTATTTCATGATTTGGTTGACAACAATGTGTTTGGTGAGTTTTTTTTTTATATATATAATTTTTATAATTGTTATAAGGAACTTTAGTTGTAGAAATTATTGTAAAGAAGATAATGTTTTCTTTTCAAAATAAAGTTTTTCCTTGTAGGGTCTATTACACATAGAATAATTGATATGAGTGATGCGCTAAGATGGGTTAGGATTAGAGTTTATTTGGGATGCATGTAGTTATTGGTAAAATTAGGTTTTTTTATATTTTTTGCAATTTTTAATTTTAGAAAATTTGTATAATTTTGTTTGGCGATGATTTTAAATTATTTAAAAAAAAGTTATATCAAGAAGTAGATTTCTATGATCAAATATCTGGAAAGCTAGAAAATTCATGATAGTAGAGTAAAAGAGTTTTACATTATAGTTTTACATGAAGATCCGACATACAAATAAATAAATGAAAAAAACATTAGAGACTAGATTTTTACATGAAAAATCATGGGTCCAATGATAGTGGTTGAGTAGTGATGATTCGATGGCGGTGATCCAATAATAATAGTATTTTGATGATGATCTGATATGAGTGAAGTAGTCACTTTGGACTCTTTGCCTTAATGGGCTTTGTTCCCTGAACACGGGAGTTTATGTTCCTACATTGTGACTCCAAAATTCAGGGGGCATATTCTTTCACCTTGGTTATGCATATATTTTTCATTCCATAACTCCTCTTAATGCCCTCCAAAAGGAAAAGTTATTACGTCCGGACAAAAAACCAGAAATCCATACGAATACCGAGCGATACCGAGCACCCAGGTGACGTGGCGCTCTATTATTGATCTTTGGACGTGTTCGGCGTCCGGATACAATAATTACTCCTCCAAAAGTCATGTCGATTGAGGAGAGATTATTGGGTTCGGACACCTGACATAGCTTACGTTCGGTATTCACAGTACTGACCTCAGTATTGTGAACTACTGAGTACCGAGCAGTACTGAGCTCAGTAGTGAGCAGTACATAGCTTGGTACTGTTCAGTACCGAGTAGTAGGTGATGTGATGTATTTTTATTGGACTCCAAACACGTCCAGTGACCGAACCCAATAATTTGCCTGGATTGAGGGTGACAAATGTGAAGGAGCGGTGAGCTGCGTCAATTTTTTTGGGCCATATACAACAACTGAAGCATAAACTTAAAATTCCTTCAAATTAAACATCCTAAAAAAATCGACCATTGAGGTCTTGAACCCACATCCTGGTGGGGAATTTCCTAGCTAGAAAGGCCAGGGCATGCCCTCTTAGGTATTCTCAATGCCACCATTGTATTTAGAGTGATGAGGACCGGTCATCCCCTTGTATGGGAGAAATTATTTTGTGCGGGCACCAGAAAGAGAGAACCATCTGGATTTACATGCTTTTGCTTCTCTTTTGCTATCCTCTTGCAAAAGGGCGGTAAAAAGACAACAAATATTCAATTATGAATGCATTTTTACTGCCCTTTTACTGTGCTTTTACAAATACTTAATAAAAGCGCAACAAATATTCAATTATTTAATAAATATTAAATATTTGCTATCATTTTACAACATCACATCAAATGACAGTAAAAGTGCAACAAATTCAGATGGTTTTCTCCGTCCGATGTCCGCACAGAATAATTAATCCTCCCATGGAGCTTCTCAAACTAGAAATTACCTTAAAGAGAGCAAAAGAAAGGAGAAATGAGGGCCCCCACAATTAACAAAGAGAATGAAGTTTTTTCCTAATAAAATATAAAACAAATAAATCACAAATATGTATAGCAAACTATGATCATTACACATTTACTTTTTATATTTACAAGATATCATTCTACAATAAACTAGTTCTTACCAGACACGTGATTTAAACTACATAAAATAACGTGAAGTGTATAATTTCTTCTGTATTGAGGCAAACCGATTTCTATCCTTGTAAAGACAGGCCTGGGAAAAACGCCTGCATTCTTTTAGAAGGCTAAGACTTTATGAAGACAACCTTCTATAGATTATTATACATGATGGAACCCTTTCCAAAATCCCCCCCAAAAAATAGAATTTTACCAAAAAAAAAAAGGCATTTACACGATAAATAATGAACAATATGAAATTTTACGTTTGAGAATTCACAATTGTGACCAACAAACTCAATGATGCAAGAGCTTCTTTTAACCTGGAGACTGGGAGGACACCTAAAGTAGAGTGAAGTGCCCCATTCTTCACAACATCTTTAGAGCTACTTTCACCATCAACTTGAGAAGTTACCACTGAGTTTTCTCCTCGATTGCATAGTTCAGTGGTGTCAGCTGGGAACTGACAGTAGGCTGAACTTAGTTGCTCGAGGATTTCGTCCAGCCTCCCGGATCGCTCATCTTCGCTATCCATCTCCATAAGGTCCTAGTTGCACAAACCAATTCAACAAACATAAGAAGAACATGCGAATAGACTATAACCATCATTGCATAAAACACTACTCAAGTCAAATAAAATTTAGCAAATGGAGTAAAGTTAACTTTTTTTTAATGAATAATTTCATTCAGCGCACAGAATGAAAGAAAAATCACAGTGATTTTAATGTCAGTTGTTTGCAAAGGCACAACAATTATATAAACTTGAGACAATAGACAATAAAGAATATGAAAGGAAAAATGTAGCTTTGGTATCAGAAAACAGGCAATTCTACTTGAGCTATAAAGTGAAAATGATAGCAAACAAACCTGTGCAGAAAACTTGTGGAAGATGGGATAGAAGCGCTGTCTGCAATACTCGTTGAAAAGAAGCGTCAATATCACAAGAGGAATGGTGAAGCTTGATGAAGTTGGGGATTCTTTTATCCCAAACACACCAATAGCTATTATCTGTGCTAGTACCAAGGAAAAAATCGTTGCATTGTGTGCAATGGGCCACATTTGTCCTCCAGACTCATACTTTGAGCAATAAACATTGAGTATCTGCATAAATACATAGAATCAATCAGCAAAAAACACCTAATAATAGTAAAATAGAGCTCAACAACTAAGTTTTCTTTTACTAATAAAAAAAATAATTCTTTATTATTTTCCCAAAGGCACAAATTTGTCAAGTCATCCTAGCTTTTTCACATGTCTAGAAACACAGCACCAAGACACCTTTATCTACCATTTAGGGCCAATATTAACCCAAACTGGAAATAAGAATTCAACAATAATAAGTCACTCTTCTATTTGGCAGGGAAATCCTGAAGCCTAAGCGTATCCATTTAACCATATCTTGTAGTAGTAGAGAGGATCAGAAAGTGAAAACTAAAAGCATAACAGCAAAAAGAGAAATTGAATTGCTGAATTGATGAAACATTGAAGTAAAGTGAGGGATAACAATGCATTGGGCAACTTTTAGAGGCAATCGCAACACAATTAAGAAGGGGCCCTTTTGTGCGATGATCATTGCCTGCTTGTAGAAAAGGGGATGATGATTAGAGAATGTAAGAGATTTCCTAGGCACCCCCTCACAAGCATCACAAACTTGAGGTCCGAGGCAATAGAACAACCCGATTGATCAACACAATCAAATTCCACACATAATACACATTCACTACTTGAAGGTGCTTGTACATGAGCAAAGTAAAAAAAATAACGGAGATTTTGGTCATTTGCAGCTTTGTTATATTAGATTTGTTGTAAAGTATAAACTTTATTATACCATGTTGACTTTGGTACAATGATCTTGCTTAAAAATTTTATTCATGTTTCTGTTAAAGTGTGAACTTCATGCTTTTCAATCTAATGGACGAGATTCTTGCTTCTGTTGAAGGTGTTGATGTCTTGATGAGAATCAATTATAAATTATAATGTTGTTGATGAGAATCTGTTGGAAGAGAACCTTGTCTCTTGGTGATTTGATAGAAGAAAAAAAAGGCAAATGTAATATTGCATTTTTGTGTGTCCTAGAATTTTGTTGTATTTTTTGCTAGAAAATGAGAATATTGTGATCATCATTTGTTTCATACAAGATATTGTTGATGGGTTTTATCATTTATGAGTCATTTCTTAGGTATTTTTAAATAGTGTAGTATGCCCGTCAATAATCGATGAATATTATGATGATTATTATTCTCATAAGTCTCAGCTAAGTTCAGAGTACCTGCTCATCGATCAGGGATTTTTGTTAAAAATGAGCTCAATGAGTTATGATTCTAGCTTGGAAAAAAGCACTCCAACGAGCAAACGAGCCAATAAACGAGTAGAGTTCGAGCATCTTATTCGAGCTATTTCCACACTAAATGAACTCGAGCTCGACTCTACTCGTTTGCACCCGTAATAAATGGGTAATAGGGCTTCTTCTTTTCATAAGTTTGTTCAAAATTGAATAATATGTTATCGCCCACTATAACTTCTTATAAAAGGCTTAATTTTCTATAATAAATTCACATCAATCTATCCTAAAATTCATTTTATATCTTCCCACCCCCCACTCCACACCTCCCCTCTCCTCCCCACCCCACCTTCACCAATCATTCTAGCAGTTGCCCCACCTTTCATCATTGTCATCTTGTGCTACAACCAATCCAATTGATATCTAGCAAACTCCATAGCCGTAGTTTTCATTGCTCTCAAAAGATTCCCAAACACTAACTAGACCCGGCAAGGAGGAGAAACTATCTCAAAACTGCAGGCTAAATCAATCTTGGAGAAGAAAAATAGCAAGCTTCATTATCCAATGTCGAATAACTCAAAAGAAAAAAGAATTATTGTTGTACGAGCAATCTAGATTTGAAAATTATACTTTTTGTCTAGTGAAGGATAAGTCAGAAAATTGAATTGGTTTGCCGAATAAAAAAAAAACAAGAAGATCAAATCGGATAGCAAAAATCATGTATATAGTGAACGAAACAATGCCCGAGGTAGCTTTAAGTGATTAACAGATCATTGGTGAACCTCCAATAACAATTTCAAAAACCTTTTTGAATCTGTTACAGCATCTTATTTTGAACTTGTGACACAATTTTAAGAGCTTGACAACTGATCGTTGGATTTAACCAAAAAACAAAACATAGAAACAAAAGGCCAAAAGTAGAGAAAATGCATCAAAAAGTTGAAATTGACATTTTTTTTAGGAACAGCAACGATAGGAATAAGATTCAAGAAACCTAACTAAAATATAGTCATAGTTTTTGTATGCTAAATATGATAAGGTTTAGGAAATCCACTGGGTTTACAAACTGAAAAGCTGCAAAAATAAGACAAAAAGCCACCATAGCAATAAGAATAATCACGAAAGTTCCACAAGAATAGCAATATAGAAGTACCATAACAAAAGAATTAAAATTCCCCGCTAAACATAGAAACACCAGCCAAAATCTAGCTACAGAGAAACATCAAGAAAACCTTAGAATTAAAATCCAAGACCTAAATCAAGCGATAGAAGCTACGTCCATCAGAAGCACGAAAATACCAACTCAATGAGCTAAACAAAATTCATACTAAAAAAAAATTAAAAACAAAATTTATTCAAAGTGACAAACTTAATGCAAACAATTTGCATTTTCGGCAAATATAAACTTTAAATTTTAGTATTAGCTTATGACATATAACTCTTAAGGAACTTCTCGATGTAACTATAAATAATTTAAGTATATCTACTTATTCTTGCAATACAATACAAGCATTCATAATCTAGGTACTAAGATCTCACCTGATTGCGATAAACAACATACCCAAGGAAGAAGTACACTAGCAAGAAAGGTAATATTAATGGTGCTAGTATGGAGCAGGTGAAGCCAAGAAGCCCAAATAAAAGAACCCTTGGAATTTCCGTATGATAAGGAAATGTTGGAACAGAGGCTGGATCATCCTTCCACCTTAATATATGCCTCTTTATAAAGTTCCATATAAGGCCAAAGAGCTGCATAACTTCAGATGATAAACTTGCCCAACCTGAGGTTAGGACATAAGTGATAAAGAAGGTAGCCTGCAAAAATAGCAAATTGAAGATTAATGTCTAATTTAGTTTAAACAAGGGTAGTAAATAATATTACATTTGATGAGAATAACATTATCAAAGAAATCACCTGACTTGGCACAGCTTTTGCAAGCTGAGTTGGGATGTCCTTTGGACTAGATATGGCATTTATCTGGCTTATGACTGATCCAGAGAAGACATTTACAAAGAACACATTCCAAACATTAAAGTAGAGCACTTTCCAACAGGCACTCTTTTTCCTAGCACTATGTGAGATAGACCCTTCAACAGAAGAAAATAACAGCATCACGGGTGGAACAATATATAGGAACAATTGCAAAATGACACTAGGGAGGTAGCCTGAGATTATCTCGCTTGCAAACTTCCTGCATGCATTAAGAATTGCATTGCTGTTAATAGGAGTGCTTGGATATTCAATGCCAAAAAATATGTCAACACAGCAAGAAAAATCAAATCTTGTGTTAACTGAAAAGCAAATCCACTTGAATTCAAAAATCAAGAAATAAAATTAAATGAATAACAAAATTCTAAGAAACATTGAGGGTAGATTCCATCAACATGTCAATTCAACAAAGATCAGAAACAGAGTGATACCATACTTCTTTAATAAACCATCCAGAAATGGGAATATTTTCTGCAACTGATCCAAATGGGTTAGACCTTGCACAAAAGTGACTGGAATGAGAAACAAAATCATAAAAACAATGCTGGCAATAAGTATTGCTATCTTGCGGAACCAAAGCTGTCTGTATGGTATCCAAAGATTTGACCAATAAACATCATGTGGTTCAGGAGCTAGATCAGTAACCCAATACATAGGATTTGATGACTGAAGAATCTCTGAAGTAACAACAGCAGCATACCGTGTTCTGAAAAATACAAAAGCAGCACCACATTCCTGCATGAAAATAAAAAAACAACCTTGAAAGCGGAGAATAAATAATGCCTATAATAAAGCATAATTACATTAAGACTACAGTACAAATAGAAATAAATAATAATTATATGGGTATAATTTAAACTCACGAACAACACAACAAACAAGCACAATAAAATGAAATCATGCATCAAGTTTTCTTAAACAGAAGTAAGAATTATAGCAATAAACATGTTAATATTAGCCAACAAGCAGGGCCTAGATGAGCTTCTTTCTATTACAAATTGTGCAAGGTTGATTTCTGCCATAAAAAATTAGACTCCACAGAACTCGTCTGAAATCTTTCAGCATAAGTAAAAATTATGTAAGCACACATATATAAATAGATATATCAGCACTATGATTGCTTAATGCTGATTTCACAAGTTTCTCTATCCTAAGACCACAACCCATATACACAAATATTCTAAATCCCTCAACACCGTTTATACATCACATCCACACCATGAAATTCAACTTCTTGGGACATCTTGGCACATTTTCGCATGCATATATATTTTACAAGAATAAAATTTGGTTAGAAAATATTATACAAAAACAACAACATCAAGCCTTTATCCCACTACGTGGGGTCGGCTACATGAATCCTTTTTCTCCATTGTGTCCTATTAAAGGTCAAATTCTCGTTTAAATCTAATAAAGAAAAGTCATTTCTAATATTTTCTAACCAAGTCTTTTTAGGTATGCCTCTATCTTTCTTAACATAAGTCAAATCTAATACCTCTACTCTCCTAACCGGGTCATTGGAAGGCCGCCGTTTTATGTGACCAAACCATCTAAGGCGACTCTCTCTAATCTTATCTTATATTGGAGCTACTCCAACCTTTTCACGGATATGCTCATTTCATATCATATCTCTAAGGGTAAAGCCAATATTCATCCAATAGCATCCAAGAAGATTAAAGGACACGTCTAATCTGCCAATAATGCTCAAAGTGGAGTTTACTAGTTTCCTAAATTTTAGAAGAAGCCAATGAATTCTTTCTCATAGTCAACACCAATTTCGCCACACCCACAACACAACAAACAATTATGAAGCAATCCAAACAGCCAAGCACCCACATCCAATCTGCTAAATCAAATCCAAAACGCTCCATCGGGACCATAACCAGAAAAACGTGCAAATACTTGAGGCCAATCTGCACAGAAAATACTGCTATCTACCAATTCAATCTATGCATACATCACTCAAGCTCATCAAATAGCAACCACCAATTATGTACAAAGAAAGAAAAAACCCTACCAAACCTACAGAACCGAACTACCAAAAGCCTTCGTTTTTTTAACCAGTTCTTTACATTTCACCATAGAATTGGAAAGCTCTCGAATTTAGGGCAAAATCTGATTCTTTTCTTTCACGGTTAACATAGCCCTGAAATTCATTGATTTCACCTTCTTCAATAATTTAAATAGAACATCCAAGATCACTCACTTCAGAGTATGTGACAATGACAGTTCCAATCAGGATAAACTCAGACGGCCTAATTCCTCCTAAAAAAAACGAACTAATGAAATATAAGCAAATCATCGACCCCCACCTAATGCTCAAACAACAATTCCGCTGAAGACATAGGTTGTTGCATCAGAACGTTCATCCACAAAACAAATCCTTCTCAAAACAAAAAAATTCCACGCAGATCGCTGTAAAGGAGACGAAACAACAAGAACGACGAAATAGAGGATTCAGTTACCTGCGACTGGATCAAAGGGAGAAGAGGCGGGAAACCCTAGCGTTGCCACGACATAAATCGCTACCTCCGGTGAGGAAGGGATCTGCTGCTCGCCTTTTATTTAATTTATTTAATTATATGTTATTTTCATGGGTAATATTTAAAGTTTAAAATATGTAACATTTTATTTTATTTTAATTTGCGATTTGTCGTTCTATACCTTATTAGAAATATTATTCTTTGACTAAATAGTTGTTCAATAGTTATAAGTACTGTTATATTCAAAATCATTCGTTAATTTGGTCAAATCTCATTAAATTATTGTGATTTTTTTAATAATTTTATTTTTTTTCTTTTGTTTTAATTATGCTCCATTAATTCTCTCTATTGAATAACTCAATTCTCATGAGGATAATTTATAGAGTTATGGATAAATTTTAAACGAGAATTTGACTTTTAATAGGTCATATTGGAGAAATAGGATTCATGTAGCCGACCGCACGTAGTGGGATAAAGGCTTGAACTTTCAAAAATATTTTTGTTAATATTCTTTAAATGCCCCCATCTAATTCTAGAATATCGTTTTACTTTATTTTTTATTATCTGCCCCTTTATCTTAAAGTCTAAAACTAATAATTGATGTTGGGTACATAAATTTTTACTCGAAATAACTTTACAATTTTTACAATCTAAACGATCTATTTTCTTATAAGAAAATAGTCAATCTGAGTTGTACTATAACCATTTTTATAAGTGATGAGATGCTCATTTCTTTTCTTAAATAAGGTATTAGCACTTGAAAAGTCATAAGCTAAACAAAAATCTAATATGATATTGCCACATTTATTTGTTGTTCCAAAATCATAGCCACCATGAATGCTTTTAAAATCATCTACCTCTCTGCCAACATGTCCATTTAAATCTCCTCCAATAAAAACTCTTTCTTCTAGAGGTATCTTTTGCAATAATTCTTCTAAGCCATTCAAAAAATTTAATTTAGAACTCATATCCAAACTTACTTGAGGAGCATAAGCACTTATAATATTAACAATCCTATCATCAACAACAATCTTTAAAACTATAATTCTATCACCAATCCTATTAATTTTTATAACATTATCATTCAAACTCTTATCTATAATAATACTTACATTATTTCTAGTACGACTCCTACATGTATACCAAAGTTTAAATCCTAAACTATCAATTTCCTTAGCCTTCTCTCCAACCCATTTAGTTTTCTGAATGCACAAATTATTTATCTTCCTATGAACCATAATATATATTAATTCCATTAATTTTCCTGTAAGAGAACCTATATTCCAAGTTCATATCCTAATTTTAGTTTCATGGACTAGCTTCTTTGCCCACATCCGTCCTTGATGTGGGAACCCTTGCCTATTTAACACTGCACCAGGGCGCCGGTGCAGCGGCCCTTGCACACTTGTCACTGTATTCAGGCCAAACAACGCGTCGCTTCCAGGGGACGCCCTAGCATTAACACAATGGCATTTTTTCATTAGAAAATATTATAAATGATATTTTTTTATTAGATTTAAATGAAAATTTGACTCTTAATAGAACATAATGGAGAAAAAAAATTCAAGTACCCAACCTCAGGTGAAGGGATAAAGGCTTGATCCTCTTGTTATTATTGTATTTTACAAGAATAAAATTACAATAAAACTACTGGTTTCACGTTGGTGAAGTCAGAGCTGGATTGAAAGCTTTCCACTTTAAGCTAACCACAAAGAGTCAGAATAAGGGCAATGATGATGGTAACTAACTCTTCATTTCATCAAAAATTCTATTTTTTTTAAAACAAAAAAGCATTCACATAGCTTTTTGACCTTTTGCTTCTGATGAGTGATTTAATTAACATTCCAAAGCTAATCTCATTCATTTGTGCACATTTTAGTACCTGAGTGACATTTGCGACAAACAAAACCATGAAAACGACCTCTGTTGTATGTAGTAGAACAATGGCATCAAAATCTTAAGAGCTAATACAAGTTCCATAGGTACTTCACTGAAGACACTAATGCTTAGCGTGCTGATAATACCTTTTCTTTTGAACTTGAATTTGAACCGTTGAGATCACTTCTCTTATCACCGAGCTCAAATTTATCATGACACAACTGGAACGAATTGGATGTTCCTCCACAAATTCCACATCTGTATCTAAATGGAATACACTTTTGATCAATTATGGCACCCTTTAACCGAGTGACCTTCTTGTAAGCCTTCCTTGCATTGTTCTGCATAATAAAAATTCAAAGAACATATCATCGTAATGTGCAAGCAACATGAAGGAAACAAATACAAAACAGCTAATTACTCATTTCTTTCACAAATCAAGCATGCCTAATGATTGCAAAGATAAATCATTTCCTTTAAGACGCCCCAAATATTGATATACTGAGATAATAAGGATATATAGATATATATACATGTAAATACATAAATTTATGTATGTAAAATAATCCACAACAACAATTATATCTACACAAATGGGTTTGCACACAGCTAAAACCGGATGTGTTTGCAAATACACAGAAGTTATAATTTAACTGGTCCCTATAGAAGTTGAGGTCAAGTTGGCTTGATTATGATTAACTTTACATATATATATATATATATATATATAACACATACATATGTACATACATCAATCCATGTATGTAAAAATAATCCACAGCAACATTATATCTGACCACATTACTTTGCAACAACAACAATAACAACATTAAGCCTTCATCCCACTACGTGAGGTCAGCTAAATGAATCATTTTTCTCCATTGCAGATTCGGCGTGTACCAAGGAAAAGAATTGTAAGTACTTCCATAGCTATTTCATTGTTGTGGGGAGCTTTTCATAGATGAAGTTGGACAATCCAACCTCCAGATCATTCATTTTTTTGTTAAGCAGACTCCCTGCCCCTCAATCCCTTACAAGATCTCTTATTTGATGAAATAATGCTCAAATGGACAATAAATAAATAAATAAATACTCCAAGGCCAATTGAACTTAAGCTAAAAATAACTATGATGGTTTTGTGTTAATCTCATCAAGCAAGACATGATGTGATAAATCTTTAAAAAGATGACACTTTGGTTCCAAGAACCTAAAAAGATTTTTAAGGTAAGAGCCTCAAGTAACTTGTTCGCAGAAATAGTAAATTGTAAGGTTTGAGAAGATACATAGGTCTAAGTCAGACATAAAACATAAGAACTTATTAGGAATTTAACATATATTAGTTAAATTATTAAAATAAATGTTCAGTAATCATATGGAAAGTTAAAAAATATTCAAATGCATGCCAAATAAGAAATTAAAAAGAAAAAAAAGTATCCCGTACCATAATTTTATGGAATTTGCCAGCACGATATATTATCTGATGAGATAGGTAACTTGACGCATGATATTTTATGAAGAAATTCTTGACAGAATCACTAAATGTTTCTCCTGTTGACTTTGGAATGGCTCGAATAAGTACGGTAAAATGACTTGGATTTGGAGGTGATCGAGTGATATGAAGCAGCCTCAACCTCGCAATACTCTTGTATTGCTAGAATCACACAAAATCGGGAATTGTTAGTACTAAAATTAAGGTACTAATACAAAATTTACCATGTTGAAGAAACTACTCACAAAATATAGAAGGATGCAAGCAGAGAAGGAGATAATATACAATGCAAGGCAGTGAACCCAAAGCCTGCATTATAGAAAAATCTGTGTTCATAATCTTCATAAATGAGAAGCATTTTTATCAGGTATGCAAAGCGAAAAAAAAAGAAAAACGATCAGGAGTACCACACTTAAAAGGCCATGAAAATTTAATGCAAATCTAAAAAAAGTGTTGGTCAAATGTTACAAGCATTTTACATGATGCCAAATAGCCTTAGTAGTTCTCAATAAAAGTGAAGCTAAAGCCAATTATTGTAACAAGCATTTTACTTGGACATCACCAAAAGTAGCAAAAACCTTAAGTGGGTGCAGTCCTTTGCAACTGTTAAACAATGAGCAATAAAATTTTGTGGAATTGAGAGGTATGAGTTCAGTGGATAAAGAAGCTTAAGCCAATTAGGGAAGAAAAACTATGGCTTCGTTTGGGACGGCTTTTTTACTGTTTTTTAAAAGAACTTTCTAATACAAAAAAATTTATTTTTATAATAGAAAGATGCTTTAAGAAGCAGTAAGAAAATCATCCCAAACGAAGCCTATATTTGGTGAGGTATTGCATACAACGCTAAAGTGCTCAACTAAACACAAGTGATCGTAGAATTTACCATTTTGAGTGACTCTGAACATTTCCGATGGTAAATACTTCTAATGATTCAGATGAAATATTACCATGTTCCATGTCCTGTCCAAAATAGTTCAAAGGTAGTACACCAAAAATGCAAACAACTGCTGCAATAGAGAAGATGCGCATACTGCAGTAACAAACAAAGAAAAAAAAAATATTAGTCAGTAACTTCAAGATTTAGCATTAATTTAATTTTAAATAAACATGTAAGCATAATTAAATTAAGCCAATAATAAATGTCACTGCAAAATCATGATAGCTAATCAAAATAAATAGGGAAATCTAAAAATATACATTTATGAAAATATTGAAAAGCATTTCTATAGAGGTTAAATATGGCCATAAAAAGATGCATGTTCTTAACATATTTTAAGCATTCTCTAAGGAGTTGTTTGGATGTAAATATTATGAGTGTAAAGTAAAAGAAATGCAGGGGTTTGTATTTTTCTAGTGTTCGGTTTGTAGTTAACCAAATATAAACCATTTGTGTGGGGAATTTGGACTACACGAAATGCCTATTTTTGACAAATTTGGAATTCAACCAATTGGTAAAATTCCAAATGCAGAGAAAATTTGAAGCCCGCTACCTCACCTTTCCCACTCCAATAGGTGCCCACCCGCCCACCTAGGTCATGCCACCACACATCATTGCCTGAGACAATCGCCACCCACCACTCACCAGCCCGTTGCCACAATAATTCATTATGGTCCCCTCCATCACTACCACCACTACCCGCCATTGTTGTCTTCCATCAACCACTACCCGCCACATTTGTAATGTTTCATAACTAACACAAAATATTTCAATGCATTTGATTTTCATCCAAGTAAATGATTCATGTATTTAAAAATGCATGTACTCAAATTACATTGCATTCTAATATGCATGCATTTTAAAAACATCTAACCATACAAGCCCTAACAAATAGAAATTCACATTCTTCACAATCAAAACCACACCACAAGAACTATGAACAAATGAGGGATTAAGCAAGGCAATGTATAAAAGAAAGGTTGAAAAGAAACTATAGAGCATATAATACATTATCTGAGGTCAAGAAGGCAGAATGAATAGACCATTTTCTAGAGATAAAAAAGAGTGACATATTAGCAACCTGATAGGTAAGAGGAATGTCACAGCAAGTGATGAAAACAATTGTCAATTACTTATCATATAAGAAGATACACCAGAGTTTAAAACCCAACATGTACTAGAATAAGCTGTGGAAGCTAAACTAGAAGAAGAAATCATATGAGAGGATGAAGTGATTAACTAAGAAAGCTAAAATAACTGAGCATATTCCCCCTAAGAAAGAGAAACAAAATCAGATTCGGTACTAGTCAAATTGATAAGAGCAATGGTAGAGACATACTAAGTGATTGGAGAGTAGCCAACTTTTCCAAAAGCAGGCAAATGAGTAATTGCTTCTTTGTGGCAAGGTGGAAATAAGCCACCACTATTTAGACAAGTACCCTAGCTGCTCCTTGCTCCAAAAGAAGACAATGCAAGTAACTAAGTGACCTAAAGAATGTGGGGTACATTGCTAAAGATATTGGTGGCAATAAAGTTCGTAGTTATTTGAGCTTGAATATATTGTACAGATCGATGAAGACCAATAAGAAACTTTTGGTTTTGTTTTTGCCAAGTAGTTAGACAATATTTAAGAAGTTCATTGTATTAGCCTTTTAAAGTGTAAAAGTACCAATGAAAAGATTTGCCACCCTATAACAAGGAGAAGATAACAAAGTCGAGAGTATATATTGTAGATATGTTATTGTTCTAAAAGTAAGTGAAATGAGAAAAAAATCTCACATCCCTTTCACAACTCCCTAAACATCATAATAAAAACAATAGAGGGCTTGAAGCATTTGAACATCCATGTAATACTAATATGATTGAAAGCTTCTCACTTGGTCTATTTGGCAGCGCCTATCTATTTAGGTGGTGGAAATCCAAATGAATGAATTTCTTAAGAGAACTCATAAGAAAACTAAAAATACAAGACCATGGTGAATAATTAGTACCAATGATTTTGATAATAGTAGTGGAAGTCATCAACAAATGCCAACTTAAAAAAAGGACAAAAAGGATGTTAATCAAGCACAGAGGAGGGTGAAGGCATTACACCTATGAATGAGATGTGAATCAACAATCCCACAAGAAAAGGAGTAGAGGTGTGTGGGTTATGTGAAAAAACTTAGTTGGCGATCAAGGAGCAATCTCAAAGAGTTTGCTAATTGCAAAACTTGAAAAACTAATATACTAAGACTTGCAATAAATAGATCGCAGTGGGAGCAAGCAGAAAGGTATGGCGCGGTCAAGCATGGATTGGGATGGGAGCAAGGCAGAGATTATGTATGTACATATCATGTGTATGGGATTATGAGTGGGGTGTAAGGTGAGTGCATAGTTGCGAGAGCGACTAAGGGGACGTGTGAGCGAACACATACTTGATTAGCGATAAGAGTGTGCATTGATTGGATAAATTTGAAAAATTGAATCGAATCAACCTTATTTAGTTAGTTTGGTTCAATTAGTGAAGTATCAATTTTGTTATAATTTATTATTTTGACTTTTTTGGCTTTTGGTTAATGATTTATTTTTTTTTAAATTAATCAAAAATAAATAAAATTACACTAATTTCTTCAAATATTAAGTCAACTAAACATGTAAACTATAAATAACTAAGTGGCATAATAATCAATGTGGATATGATTTACTCCACATGCCATAACTTTAAATTTTAGCAAAAATTGTTTATTATCTTCTTAATACATGGTATTTAAGCTAAGCATAATTAGATTTATTATTAAAGTTAATTGCATTTCGGTTCATCAACTAATGTAAAGTTTGATTCAGTATAATTTGGCATAGAAAATAGTTTCATTGGTTTGAATTCCTAAATTTTTAACCGAACCAAATTGGTCAAGCTAATTTGTAAACAAAACTGACCAAGTGACCACCAAGAGTCAAGGATGGTGATACATGAATGGAGGCATGCGGTCGAATACAAGCTTTGATAATAAGCTCGAAAGAAGGCTTTTCTTCTATATTATCAAATGAATACATTGGCCAATACATATGCAAACAAAGAGAACATTAAAAAAAAATTAAAAAGAGAATATCATTAATTCTGAGAATATACTACTTACATAAATCACCTTTCTTATTTAGCAATTTCCAGTGATAACACACATAAACCAAACTTAAAATACTAAAAAATGTTCACAGACACAATCTTTACAACAAAAATATAAAGCGTAACAAACATTACCTAGGGCGCCAATCAAAACACCAAATTCAAATCCAAATAAAGCAAAGAAGCAGATTTCTGGTTTATTTTTGTATTTATAGCCTTTAAAATAAAATGAACAACTTCTTCAATTTTCGTTTTTGTCATAAACTTGAAAATCATAAATATAGTAAAGGGGATGAGTTTTAAGCTGAGTTTTGATAGTTTCTGTTGAGTTTAGGAGTCAGAAGTTTTGAGAAAATTTTGGTGGTTTTGATTGGCTTCAACGTTTTCAATTTTTTCCACGGCTTAAGCCTAGTTTCAACAACTCCGAACCAAATCCGGTAGAAATAAAAAAAAATAACCATATTCCTGATACCTCTCGACCAAATCTATCAGTTTAAGCCGTTCCAAAGCAGAACCATGGAAAAGCAACATAAACCATCACAAAGTCAAGCTAAGGCACCGATCAAAGCACCAACTTGAACATTAAAGTAAACCAGACAACCAGATTTCCGTCTCTTAACCGACCTGAACACAATAATCCTTGTATTGTACAGCCTTGATCATACATGATGATATATCATTTTGATAAATACTCACTCAAAATTTTGGATTTTTAAAAAGATGCAAATCTAAAATTTGAACAAATTGTATCTTATAATCTTGATCATACTATACGAATAGTAAAAATCTTGCATATTTTGATCATAGAATCAACCAATGGAATCAAGATAAAATCATGATTGACATTCTCATTGTATGATCCAAGTCATCTAGTGTGATCTAACAGAACATTTGGTGGGTGAATAGTTATTCGTTTAAGATTATCCTTGGTCTAATTTAATTGATTGTATTGTACAATTCATGTTGTACAATCTGATATAGCATAACTCAAAAATAGGTATTGAATTAATCAAACAATATGATCCAAACTTTGTACTATACAATAAGTATTTCAAAATTAAAAAATAGGATTTGATTTTAAAAGCTAATCCCGGTTCTTTTCATAGTAATTGTGTGTGAAAAAAGTAAGTAACTAGAGCTATTTTTCCCTGAGAGAGAGTCCTTTGGAGAGGGAGAGCGGTGCTTGAGAGAGTTTGTCTAATCCACTTAGGAGAGAGAACGTGAGGTTGAGAGGTTGTTCCTTAGGGAGTCGAGGGTTATGTGAGGGAGTTCACACGGTTGTCATCATTGGCTTGCACCTTGATCCTCCAAGTTTAGGTTTGGGAGCTCTTGGAAGAAAGTCTTTGGATGAAAGATTTATGACTAGCCAAGGAGGCTATGGGAGCGATATGTTCTCCATTGCAAGGAGTAGAAAGAGGGAGCCATCTCCATTATGCTGGAAAGTAGAAGGAGGGAGTCTAGGCCTTTTGAGAGAAAGAGCTTGTAAAAGTCATTCTCCATTTGAGAATGGAGAAGAGTTTTTATGCCTTACTAAGGGAAAAAGGAGTGCTTATTAATGGAATTTCCAAATAGGAGGAACATGAGGAGTGAACGTAAGGTCAAGTTGATCAAACAACTAAAAAAATCTCAGTTTATATTTCTTTTACTTTTGTATTTGATTTCTAGCATTTTCTATATTGCTTAGATATGTGATTCAAAAGATTGTTGTGATTGCACTTAAAAAATTCAAAAATAAATCTTCATAACATTTTAATACATAACAAAAATATTTTCCTCTAAATCTTTCTTTTAAATTTCTCTTTACATAATTACAACTGCTCTCAGTAATAAAAATAAAAAATATTCTTAGTACTTTTCACTCTAAAGTTATATTATTATTTTCAAAATTACTTCTACTAAAAATTATGTTTTTACTTAATCAAAAATTCTTTTTTTAAATAACCAATTCACTTTTCCCTCTTGGTTGTGTCATGACAGTCTTAATTAAAATAATAAAGAAGACATCCAAATTTTATTTCCAAAATAATTATATTTAGATAATCCAATCCAACTTCATTCTATACATCAAAAGACAATAATTTGATTACAAAATACTTTAATGTAATGCTTCTGATGATCCTGCCCTTATTAAACTCTACTCCACTAAATCTTTGCCTTCTCGAAAATTTCATAAACAATAAAGTGAGCTTCATATGCTCTGCAGGGCATCCCAATTCTTATTGTAGATGTCAATACCCATATTTAAAATATTTAATTAAAAAATTTAAATATTAAATTCAATTGAATAGAAAATAACTTTTACTCTTTAGAAAACATAAACATAGAAATTATTTATACAAGTGACATACATAAGGATTAGCTTTTTTTAGAACATGTTATTTAAACATGAACATTATATACATGGACATGCACTTTTACTAATTAGGTATCTGAGTATATATTAGGATTAACATGATGTCATTTGTACATTAACAAAAGTATCAGAGGGTTGTCTTGCTCTTCAAGACGTGCTTATCTTCTCGTCATTGTTATCAATCCACACTCAATGCACCTTTTAAGGATGTTGGATTTGAATGTGCTTGTATTCTAATCACTAACATCAATCCACACTCAAAACACTTTTTGAAGATGTTGGATTTGAATGTCTCTGGATGATACCCGACCTTACTAATAGATAATCTCGAAACATGAGTTTGGGAATTGAGTGGAGTTTGGGCAAGTAGAGCTCTATGTGTCCTTGGAGAGAATAATATGAAATCTAAGGAACATAGAAAAATAAGAAGATCTAGAAGCTCCAAAGATCCAAAAGTTCACAAGTGCCACAAAATAAAAAAGCCTTTTGAAATCAAAAGTCCCAAAAGATGTATCTTCACCTTTTATTTATAAAATTTAGAGGGGTAGATGATAAGAAAGTTAAAAAAAGCACAATGTCTGATATAACTTATTATAGGGTGTCATGCATATGTGGTCTATCTGATTGACTTTCATATTGATCTCTATATATAATAGGTCCATTGATCTCAGGACAAGTCTTTTGTACTAGTCTTATTAAGCTAGTGCAACGGGCTAGTACTATGGGCCCCATATATATGATGGTTGAATTTTTTGGACGAAATAACGAGTCAATTGATAAAAGGTTTAAACCTCTTGAAGTGAAAGGCCTAGTCTTCTTGGGAGAAAGAGGTCACGACTTAACGATTGTCCATACCTGAGAGATCATAGTTATAACCTTTGAGGTGCGTGTGCTTCTTTGTACTTGGATTAGAGAAGTCAACATCAGTTAAATACCTTTAATTGTAGGGGATATTTGTGGATGAAGGATTCATGATGAGATGATTAATTCCTAAAACTTTGATAAACCTAAGAAAGTTCTCTTGAGAATCCTATTGGAGGTGCCAACTCCTCAGCCTATTATGCACAATCGATTATTCAGGTCATTACTTTGTTGAGAGAATGCTTATGACTTCATGGAAACTACCGACCAGCTTGTTGGTCTACCGCCTTTCTTAGTGCTAAGTGTTTCTCATAGGAGGTCAGATTGTTTTGAACAAGTATCATAGTGAGAACCTGTTAGATACCTTTGAAGTACCTATATCATCATGAACAAGTTTACAAGCTTCATTTGGACTTGTGCTTAACTTGTAATTCATTATGAGTTCTATGTATAATTAGAAAGCTACAAATTAAGAGCTATGTTTTGTTTGGGACAACTTTTTTATTATTTTTTAAAACTCATTTTACACCTAGCATTTATTAGAACTTATTACATAACTTGACTTAAATGCAACATTTTCAGTAAATATTGTAATAAATATTATTAACTTTATTTAAATAATTAAATTGATCTATTTGAATATGCTATCTATCATTCAGATGATTATAAAATACAATAAAGGAATTTAAACACTTATTTTTTAAAAATATTTTATAAGTTAAAGTAAGAAGACAGAAGGCAAGATAGTCATTTAGACTGCATTGCAGTGGAAAAAAAAAAAAAAAGAAAGCCCTGCGAGCGAAAGACACTTAAACGAGTTCAAAGAGTAAACTCCAAATGTCTTAATGTAATTAGGTGCCGCATTGATTTTTTTTTTCGCTGACATATAAGAAAATAATTGTGAGGACTTTTCAATATCTATATGGAAAACTTGCCGACATCCATTTCTCTTTTGGTAATAAAATAGATTGACCAATGAGCACAAGCAACGCTGGCAAACGGTGGCTCACAAACTTCTCCAATTGAGATGGCCAATGGCTATAATTCTTTAATAGTTTAGTGGTAGGCAGAGTTTTTTAGATAATTTTGATAGAGGAGTTTTAAAAAATGAATGTCAAAAGGTGGAGGAGATGCGGTAAATAAAGTGTTTTATTTTTCTAGGAACAAAAGTTGAATTCTTTTTTTTTTTTTTATTAGCCTTTGGGAGAGTTATTGCTACTCTACAATAGTTGACTGATACTTCGCATGAAAATTAATTTGATTGAGCTAGAACTCCATGCAAATTAAAATAAGAAAATTTTAAAATTTAGCTATAGATGAATTTGATTCCAATTCTATCACCAAAAAAGTGATCCGATGTGTGTGCTTCTTTGTAGTTGGATCATATATGTTAGCATGCCCATTGGCTAAATACCTTTGATTGTTGGGAATATTGATAAACCTAAGAAAGTTCTCTTGAGAATCCTATTGGAGGTGTCAACTCCTTAGCCTATTCTACCCAGTCGAGTATTCAGGTCATTGCCTTGTTGAGAGAATGCTCATGAGTTCATGGAATATTGCCAACCAGCTTGTTGGTCAACTGCCTTTCTTAATGCTGAGTCCTTCTCGTAGGAGGTCATAGGAGGTCAGATTGTTTTGAGCTGGTATCTCAATAAGAACCTGTTATATATCTTTGAAGTGCCTATATCAGCATGAATGAGTTTACAGGCCGCATTTGGACTTATGCTTAACTTGTAATTCATAATGAGTTCTATGTATAATTAGAAAGCTACAAATTAAGAGTTATGCTTTGTTTGGGACAGCCTTTTTACTACCTAAAACTCATTTTACCCCCAACATTTATTAGAACTTATTACATAACTTGACTTAAATGCAACATTTTCAATAAATATTGTGATGAATATTATTAACTTTATTTAAATAATTGAGTTTTTCTATTTGAATATGCTATCTATCATTCAAAAGATTATAAAATATGAGAAAGGTATTTATACACTTATTTTCTTAAAATATTTTATAAGTTAAAGTGAGAAGACAGAAGGCAAGATAGTCATTTAGGAGCGCGGATTCCGTCGTGTTACTGAATGCATCCGGAAACCAATAACAAAAGACTACGTCACTAAAGTGTTCGGTACCGTGCTTGATATAACGGGCTCGGTACACTCAGTATGCTCAGTATTTTCACCGGATGTAATAATTTTTCGTCATTTAGACTACATTACAGTAAAAAAAGAAAAGAAAAGAAAAGAAAGCCCAGTGACCGAAAGACACTTAAGCGAGTTCAAAGAGTAAAGTCCAAATGTCTTTAGGTGCCGCATTGAATTTTTTTTTTCGCTGACATATAAAATAATAATTGTGATGACGTTTCAATATCAATATGGGAAACTTGCCGATCGACATCCCTAACTAATATTTTATTAAAGCACTCTTTGACTCTCTT